AAAACTGCTAACCTTGTGTATATTTGTTCTTAAATAGGTATTTATTGGGCATCTGTTAATATTCCAGACAACTTTCCAGGGACTAAATTATGGCACTGCACAGGACAGACAGACACTGCTATAATCTCAGTGAAGGAGATGGATAAAAAGCAAAGATGCAATAAGTGATAGTGACTAGATAGTGCTAAGTGCTGCAAAAGAAATAAAGCAGGGTTGCATGGTAGAATGGGACAGGATGTGGGCTGCTGTTTTACTTCAAGTGGCCTGAGAAGCCTCTCTGGGGTGGAGGAGTCTGAGCTGAGAGTTGAATGAAGGGGAAGAAGCCTATGATTTTGGAGATCTGAGAGAAGAGTGGCTCAGGCAGAGGGAAGGGCAAGTGCAAAGGCCTTGGAGCAGGACTGAGCCTTGCATACCTGAGGGACAGAGGACCGCCTCTGTGGCTGGTGTTGGTGAAAGGAGAGAGCTGCAGGCAGGAGAGGAGTGGGCTGGGGTTGATGCCTATATGTGTTGCATAAGTCAAGAAATGTTTACAGAAATGGGAAAGATGTGAGTGGTGGAGTTCCTCTATAGGCTGGAAGCTCCAGGGGGCTAGCAACACATCTGCTTGTTACCGATTGCATTTGCAGCACCAGGAACCACCTTCATCACATAGTGGGCTATGAATAGTTATTGAGTAAATGAATACTTAGAGAATTTACAAAATAATCTTACCTGCTTTTGGTCAAAATACTTAGATTTGGGAGTCTTTTAGTTTTCCAGCTTGGCTCTGGCCTTTGACACAGGCAATTGGTTATACTGTTACCATTTTTCTTTCAGATTATCACTTTAGTCGGAGTATTGCTTTAAGTCGATTACACTTGACTGCTCTTCCATGAAATTCAAGTGTAAAACCTTAAAAACAAACCCTTTTCAGTAAAATTATAGTGATTTATGAGAGATTTTCAGAAAGATGAGTATTTTTATCTTTTATTTCCGTGTAATAGCCATTTGTATAAGTGTAGGATTTCAAAGATGCCTTGTGTGTGTGTGTGTGTGTGTGTGTGTGCGCGTATTGAATGTTTTAATTCTTTGGGCCAGATGACAGACTAATGAGTAGATAAAATATATGTAGGTACTTTTATTCTCACAGGAGGAATGTGTGCCTGCCCTATAGGGAATATCAATAATTTGTGGCATTTCCTTTTCCCGACTTCTAATCTGTCATTCTAAATAATAATTGAAAACTTGGGAAATGAGTTTTATGCCAAGCAGTTGTTATAGATGTCTAATAAGAATCTACATCTTTCTCTTGACTGTGTCTTTTGGACTCCTGTTCCATATTAGAAGTGTTGTGGTCTTCCAGAATGATGGTTTTCAACTTTTTTGTATCCTGTCTTAAGCGATTAATACCTTAGCATAATAAGCTGTTCCTATTTATGACAATTTTATTTCCAACTGTTTCTCTTAAGTTCTCTGCAAATTATCTGTAAAGGAGGGTTCTTTAGATCCTTACTCTTCAGTAAACAGGCCTATGTCCTTTTGTCCTGATATAGCAAAAGTTCTTCAGTAAAAGAGTAGAAACACCTACCATTTGGGGTAAATTTAGAGGCTTAGATGCCTGAGTTAAAGTGTTTTTACCAATTCCTTTACCTTTCCTTTTGTGAAATAATGGAAATTGCAAATTTGTCTTACGTTGTCTAAAATGACAACACATGCATTCTTATAGGATGTTGCTGCTGTTACTGCTCAGGTGAGCAAAGCTTGTGTTTGGGAGATACTGTTCTACGCTTTCATGTTGGAAGTTGAGGAAAAACTTGGGTTGGTGTATTTTTTTCTATACTTTTGCACAGAGGTGAAAATCTTGGCTTCCAATCATTCTTCTGGTTTATAAGGAAGATACAGAGAAAGAATCGGAATCATTGTATATGCTTAGAGTGGGGAATATTTATCTATATTACTAAGCAGCAATATCCTTAGAGGCCACAAGGCGGTGATATCACTACCTAAAGTGTACGTGTGGTGCTCTTCCAGAGACTGCCTTGGAATACTGAGGCCTCTTGCAATACCTTTTCTAACTTCTCCCCAAAGTAGGCTTCTCCAAAGACACCCTGAATCTGAAGACTGTTGAATTGTGGTAGCAGGAACATCTGGTGGAAAATAACAAGAGGTGACAGAAATGCTAACAGGGCAGTGAGATGTAGACTTCAGGCAGAATTGTTGTACCTGTTGAGTTGGAGGTAAGGTGAGTGGGAGAGAGGTGCAAATCACCAGCAGGACTTTAGGCTGCAGCCCCTGAGGACACCCAAGTGCCACGGTAAGCACTAAGGCGCCTGCTGCGTGGGGACAGGATGCCAGCTGTTTCCATGCAACAGGCTTGGAGACCCACAGTCATGCCATGCTTCTTGCCTTAGTGTTTATAGTGCAGTACAAAGGTGAAAGAGGCAAGACCATTGCAGAAACATCTCCATAGAAACAGTTAAAGTTAGGAGCATACATTTTCTTCTAACTGGAACTTCATCCTACACTTATTCCTTGAAGTTGCCTGGATCACCACAATTTTACTGTAAATGTAAAATTGTTCTTTTGGGAGAATCTGATTTTGTGGAAAAACTATATAGAGCGTAAAATGTAAAGCTCTCATGAATAGTAGAAAATTAAGCACTCAAACAAAAATCAAGTGAAGTAGATAACTTGATGGAAAGTTGGAAGGCCCTTCAGATCCATCTGGTCAGCTTCTTAAGATAAAGAAACTTAGACCCAGAGGTGTTGTTATAATTTGCCAAATAATCCAGGAGTCCTGATTGGCAGTATAACCATGATTTTTGGACTCTTAACTGCAGGGTTCTGAACTCCTCTCTAGAACCAGCAGCTCCTCAAGGGCAGGAACTTTTGTGAGATTTACTACCGTGTCCCTAGCATTAGAACAGTGTCTAGTCTATAGTAGACATTCACATGTTTGTTGAATAAGTGATTATCTAAAGGAATTTTAAGAACTTCAGATTGCCATGTTAGCTATAAGACAGTACTTACACAATCTGAAAGAATATACCATTTTATGAGTTTCTTGTTAGAAAAATAGAACATGTTGCTATTAAAACCCAAACTCTTAAGCCAGACAGGCAAACAAAGGTGCGGTATTTTACATCTTAGCTTGGTACCTTTCAAAATCTCTTATCACTGGATTTTCTAAAGTCATTCTGTTAAGTTCAGCCTACTGGTATCTGGTATCATTAAGTTTTATATTTTGTATTTGAAAACAGATGCTTTAAAATCTAGCATTTATTGTTTGAATTTTTCCCTGTTTTTTTTTTTTTTTTCAGATGTGCTTTATCAATAGCTCAGCTATTTTAAAAATTTATGGCTGGGCACGGTGGCTCAAGCCTGTAATCCCAGCACTTTGGGAGGCCAAGACGGGCGGATCACGAGGTCGGGAGATCAAGACCATCCTGGCTAACACGGTGAAACCCCGTCTCTACTTAAAAAAAAAAAAAAAAAAAACTAACCGGGCGAGGTGGCGGGCGCCTGTAGTCCTAGCTACTTGGGAGGCTGAGGCAGGAGAATGGCGTCAACCCGGGAGGCGGAGCTTGCAGTGAGCTGAGATCCCGCCACTGCACTCCAGCCTGGGTGACAGAGCGAGACTCTGTCTCAAAAAAAAAAAAAAAAAAAATTTATGGCCCTATGAGGATATGATTGTTTAAAAACAAATCCGGTCAACTGGAGGGTTTTGGAAATTGTCACTTTCAAATGCTGTTGGTGAGTGTTTCAATTGTTATAATTTTACAGGAGGGCAATTTTGTATTACTCATCAGAAGCCTCAAAAATGTGCCCCATCCCTTAGTCGGGCATGTTCACTGCTAGGAATCTAAACGAAGGAGAAACAATAAAGCATGTATACAGAGTGGTTATAGTGCATGTGTGCACCATACTCCTGTCAATACCTTTCTCCTCTCAGTGATTCATAAGAAGCTTACTTACTAGGGTGTACCAAAATCTGGAGGGAGGTCCTCTGAAGTTTGGAAGAAACTCACTTCCAGATTCTAGTGACCTCCACAAAAATATACATGAAAAAAAAAACCCTCCTCTAATTTGCAAAAATGATTTTCGTAATTTTTTTTTTTAGACGGAGTCTCGCTCTGTCGTACAGACAGTAGTGCAGTGGTGCCATCTCGGCTCACTGCAAGCTCCGCCTCCTGGGTTCAGGGTTCGCGCCATTCTCCTGTCTCAGCCTCCCAAGTAGCTGGGACTGCAGGCACCTGCCACCACGCCTGGCTGATTTTTTGTATTTTTAGTAGAGATGGGGTTTCACTGTGTTATGGTCTCGATCTCCTGACCTCATGATTCGCCTGCCTCGGCCTCCCAAAGTGCTAGGATTACAGGCGTGAGCCACCGTGCCCAGCCTGTAAGTTTGTTTATAATAGTTATTAACTAGAAACACCTTAAATGCTCAATAATAGGGGGACTGATTAAATGAACTGTGGTACATACATGTGATAGAATACCCTTTCTTTAATAGTGATGTAGAGGAATATTTATAGATGTGGAAAGATACTTAATATTTGTAAACTGAAAAAGCAGATTGTAAAACAGTATGGGTAGGTTGATCCTTGTTTTTGCTTATGGAGTGTGTGTGTGTGCATGCATGTATATGTGTGTGTGTACAATGTTCTACATATTATGTGGGAAAATGCCAGGAAGACTATAGGCCGAATGTTAGGTGATACTGTGTTTCGTGTGTTGAAATTACAGTTGACTGTTACTCTTTTTACTTTCCTGAATTTCCCACACATAAAGCATGCCATGTGGTAGAGAGTCTTGGATCAGATCCCGTTTCCCATTTACTACTACTGGTTATGTGAACTTGGGCAAGTTTTGTATTTCCTTATCTGTCAAATGGGGATAATAATATCCAGCTCATGGTGCCCACATGTAATATTTAATAAATGTTACCTTGATCTCACTGATCTGATATGGTGATTAAAGCCAGTATTCTATTCTTAATAATACAGAATTTCCAAGCAGAATAATTGTGTTATGTAAGTTTTATCAAACTGTCATGGAAAGCATTTCAGGGCATTCTGACAAACTATTTTGTTGCTTCTGGTCATTGAGAAATATTTTGTCGAGTTTTATTTGCTTTAAAACTGAAATGCCTTCCATTGCCAATACGTTTTATTTTGAATTGAAGGCATTTTTCTTCTTCTGTTGTTGTCTTGAATAGTCCTGTATTCATTTTTGAAGGTCAGGGTCTGATCTTTCTTTCCTTTTATAGAGGAGTTAGAGTGGGATGTGAGTCATTAAAGTCACTGTTGAGTGCCTTTTCCTTGACAGGCACTAGGTAGGCATCAGATTTGCAGCGGCGTCCTGGACAGACATGTCTCTGCCCTGTGAATGACATATGGAAGTGACCAGTGTGGTTCAAAGCCAGGAGGCCCACTCAATAAATAGATGGTTACTACAGTTAAGTATCAAGTAGTCCTCATTTCCTCCCTTCTGATTTTAAAAGGAATTTTGTTGTGATATTACATTTTACTGAACACAAACATTGCCTCCTGCATATTCAACGAACTACTGTATATGAGGAACATACTGTTATTTCACTTTGTTGACATTCATGAATGATTTAGTGATGACTTATGTTATACAAGTGTAAGAATATCCTAGGTTAATAGGCTTAAAATTGCTACTGTATATCTTCTGTGAAGGATAATCTTTCATTATCTTAAGTATGACCTCATGCCTTTTTGAGATTATCTTTTGTAAAATTATTGAGAATGAGCTCCTCCTAAAAAATCTAGGATGCATGGAATTTATGGCTATCCCACTTGAGAAATTCCAGCGCATGATCTTACTGAGAGAGAGTGGCAGTAAAGCATTTACAGTCGTGTACCATATAATGATGTTTAGGTCAATAACAGACCATATATATGATGGTCGTCTCATTGGATTATGATACTGTATTTTTACTGTACCTTTTTTATGTTTGGATACCCAAATACTTCCGTTCTGTTACAGCTGCCTTCAGTATTGAGTACAGTAACATGCTGCACAGATTTATAGCCTTAGGAGCAATAGGCTATTATACCATATAGCGTAGGTGTCTAGTAGACTATACCATGTAGGTTTGTGTAAGTACACTCTATGATGTTTGCACAACAACAAAATTGCCTAACACAAATCTCAAAACTGTATCCTTGTCATTAAGCACACATGACTATATTTAAAAATAATGTTTCCATTTGACAGTGTGTAAAACTACATTAGTTTGTAATTAGTTTTATGTAGGGACAATTTTTTTAAGTTGGCAACTGTTGTAAGTATTTTGATAACAAGTAGACCGTCAGTAGTCATGAAATATATGTCTTGGAACCTTTATGACAAATACTGAGCTTGCATTTGATTTTCCTCATACAGCCAAATAAAAGAAAGAAAATTTCTTGAGTCGTGTTTTCATGTTCCTGTGTACAATTCATAGTAGGATAAGTTACATCACTGATTGTAACCAACAGCAAAGTCACCATTTTACTTCTTTTTTTGCTTGAATAAATTAGCCATATTTTGAGAGGGTGTAGGTTAGGGGAAGAACAAATTTAGGAGAGTTATGAATCAAGAATCATTTTTGGACATAGTTTAAGGTACCTATGAGACTTGCAGGTGACAAGTTGAACATATATCTGAAGGTGACAAGACTTGCAGGTGACAAGTTGTACATATAGATACGTATTACTTCTATCTATCTCACATTGTTCTACCCCATACCATTGCCTCATGTGGACTTTACTCCCCTTGCCCCCACTGGAACTGGCAGTTAGCTTTCTTTTGGGGGGGGGGTCGGGGATTTACTTTTCACAAAGAAACACTGGATGAGCTGCACTGAGTATGTAATGGTGACTGGAGAGCAACCAAACTGTGTTGACATAATAGACATTGGGCCACTGGCTAGACTTAGGACTTAGCCAACTCATCCTTTCCTGAAGGCCAGCTTCAATAAAATTACAGATGACTGTTTTGAAACTTTTTCAACTCACAAATAGTCAAAGCTGTGAGTGCTGTACTCAGTTCTTTCCGCAAGCTGCATTGCTGGAATCAGAAACTCAAATGCTTACAGGGACAGGGGACGTTACATAAATGGCAGAAGTAGGCCTGACCTGCCATTTGTCTTTATGCTTTTGATACAGAGACAATCAGAAATATGTCACTTTCTTTTTAACACTACTGCAAGATAGACAACAGTGATAATCTAGATGGTAAATGGCAACTGAAACTTGTCTCAGTTTTGAGGACCTATAAGGAAAGGTGAGAACTATGAAAAACTCTAGAACACATGTTCTTAGGAAGGAGTGACTGCTCTTACCTGGAGTTGATTGTTGTACTGTGAGATGTGGAATGAGTATTTCCAGAGCTTCTTAATTTTGATTTTTTTAAACACTCTATTTTGCAATATTGACAGATAATTCAAGGGTTTTAAAATTTTGCTTGTTTTATGTATATGGTTCAAAGTACCCACATGTGGGTACTTCTATGAAATAGGTAGTAGCTGGCACTTATGGTGAGATGGGATTGCCTAGAGTAAGATTTATATTGAGCAAGAATTTATGATGACTTGGGCAGTAATGAAACCAACAATCATAATTTTTGTTTCATGTTAATAATTTGATATTAGATTATCTACTTATTTTTCAAACAAAAATGAATCCTCCAATTTTAATGCCACTGGAGGACAGGATTTTCAACATTATGCATCTGATAAAGTGAGGAGACAAAAAGGTAGTCCTTTTTGGTATTTTTATGGCCATCTTACAATATTGGCCCAGCTTATTAACCATTTTTTTGTGGTTTTCCCATGTGTTGCTACTAAATCACATCTCCTCCCATCTGTATTTGTTCATTTTCTAGGTGTTATTGTTATCAACATTATCATTTCATTTTGGACCCTGACGTCCATGCTAGATTTATTTTATTGGATGTATTTATTAGAATCCTACTATTACACCCTGTATATTTGCTGTTTTGCCCATTTCTCCACATTGTCCAGGGTGGTATCTAGTATCACGAGAAAGATGGTTTTAGAAATCATTGCCATATAATATTGTATGTAGTAATGTAAGCATATGCATTACGCTCTGAGAACACGAGATAGTTGTTCCACAGATAAGTTAGATATGATTCGTATATCTTCATCCAACTCATTAACGAAAATACCAAGAGAAGCAGAACTCTTTGATATCTGTCTATATCACTTTTGTTCAGGTTGACATCATCCTATGAATTAGCACTCCGAGTAAGGCTGATCATGTGGTCAAAGCAGCCTCTTCACTCTGTTTACACAGCTTGAATTTCTCTGCCTTGCTAATACTCATCTTTCACGTATTAGAAAAGATTTTGTTCAAACAGAGATACATTTTGTTGTTTCTGATCCTTGCTTTTCCCAATACAACAGCGTATCAAGTCAAGGTTAAGGATGGGCTGACATGCATGGGTCTGAGGTCTTCTAGGATTCCTTTCTTAATACTGTTGATCTTCTTATCCGGGATCAGTTATCAAGCTCACAGGCCTCTGGTCTGTAGGATTTTATTTCTTAACAAGAATGACCCTTTCTGAAATCGCTTTGCCAAATACCAGTTATTTTAGGTGCTGTTATGTTTTTCATACTCCATTCCACTCTTACATAGAAGATGCTTCACCTGCTTAGAAGATGTTGTAGACCATGGTCTGAAGCCAGAGCTAAAGGGTTTATTTTAGTTGTTGTTTTGAGAAGCATAATCTAAGATGATGCTTAGGATTTCGATATCTGGGGTTAAATAATGTCATAAAGAAAAAAACTTTGAATTATTTTGGAGTGGAGAGCTTCAGATTCTGACCCTAAAGAATGTTAAGAAAACATTCAGGCACATTTTGGTCAACTTCTGTGCATTGAAATCTAGGTCTTAAAACAGTTTATATTTTAAGATTATTTCAGCAGCAAGACAATAAATTTTTAATGCCAATACATTTTGTGACAGGTTAACTGGCTCCCTAAGAACTATATTTGGCTTGCAAATGTATTTTGTTTGGCCCACATAGTGTTTTTTTTTTTTTTCTTTAAATTGGAATTAATTGCCAGCATTTAAAAATAAGGGGATTTCATAATAATACTAATTAAAAAAAAAAAAACCTCAAAAAGCAACAACCTGGATTTCCTGCTCTTTTGGAAAAACTGGAAGATCTGTGGCTGTACTGGCCGTGCATCCCATGTGGTATAATACAGACACAAGGAGCTGGCAAGGGGCTGCCCGCCAGCATGTGTCATGTGAACGGCTCCAGTTATTTCATCTGGCTGGCTCTTGGAGTATGTTTGAGTTTGCACCTGCTGAGTTGAGAGCTTAACCAATTAAAAGTGTACTTAGAGTTGGAGGGAGAACAGTAAGATAGCAGTTATTTTCCATTTGTTCTCTGAACATAGGCTGTCTGATCTTTGTTACAATGTGATTAGTGGAAGTGCTTGGTAGAGCAGGTGGTGTTTCCCCAGCAACAGTATTCACTGGACAGGGTCGAGGTAGAGCCGAATTTCTAGTCACATTGTACATCTACCAGTTTGTTCCTGCAGGTGACAAATAAGGTTTTCTGAAAACAAAACAACCGTAAGTTTCTTATGATACTTAAAGTAGGGAAAGCAGGTGCTGGGTCTTAGTTGTGTAATTTGAGAGCTAAGACCTGAGATGTTAGGTCATTTATCTGCGAGCCCCTACCTGTCACCTATTCAGTGGTAGAATAGGGACTGGAGTCCAGGACTCTGACTCTAGCTTAGTTGCTCGTTTTACAGTTTAGTGTAATGGCCTGGAGCTGAGATTTGCAATCAGAGTTGGCTGCAGGTCCTACTCTGCTCCCTACTAGCTATGTGACCTTTCTGTGCCTCAGTTTTCTTACTATAAAAAGAGGGAAATAATACTAATAATACTGACCTTATAGGATTGATACAAAAATTAAATCCAATTTTGCGTTGAAAGAACTTAGAAAAGTGGCTACTCCTTAATAAACAGTACATAAATAATGCCTAATATCTGAAATACATATATTTTACATGGTAGAGTTAGCTAAAACCAGCATGTTACCTGGATGGAATTATTGTGTAATTAGTCTTTTTCCCCCTCCTAGAATTTAGAAAGGCCTTTAGGGATAGTTTTACTCTATGTATTGCCCCCCCAAAAAAACCCCAAAAGCAAAAACAAAAAAACTTCAGTTTGAGCCAGTATTCTTTTTATTAATGAATTTTTGTATAGCAAACAGGTTCATTCAAAAGCATGAAGTTTATCAGCTTACTCTTCAGAATGTAGACAAACAACTGAGTGGCATGAAAATACTTTAAGTCCTCACCGAGGACTCTATTTGAATGGATTTGCTTCAGTCACCAAATAAATCTTGTGTGGTGGATGTAAAGCACTCCTAGATGTACGAATTTTACAAAGATAAGGCTCTGATCTTAGCTTACAGTGCAAAAGAAGAAAGGGGGAGAATGATCTCCGTAATACCTGGTATGATAAGATCAATGCCTAAAGGGGAAATTGATGTCCAGTGGGAGCATAAACAGAGCACTGTGTCTGGTTGGACATAGTGGTCAGCTTGAGAGCCAAGAGGTAAGAGATGCCCCTAGGAAAGGAGTAGAAGAGGTGGAAGAAGATTGCAGAATAGACGTGTGAATTTAAGTGTGGACAGATATCTGAGCTGTTGTTCAATATAGATATATTGAAAGCTTTGCAACTCACTATGGAAGATGGATTGTATGAGGCCCTTGCCAGATGGTTGTAAATTACGTATGCCAGAGGTTGAGGAGGGCCTGAGCCTCCAGAGCAGTAGAAATGGACTTGAGGGAGAGGATGGAGAAAGAGTCAAGGCATGTTTTAGGTAAAAGTGGCAAGTCAGGTGGGAAGTGTGAGGAATAAGGAAGAGTCAGGATTACTCAGAAGACGCTGGTGCCATGGGCTAAGACTGGGGCACAAAAGAGCAGGTTTGGAGGGGAAAGTGAGTTTAATTCAGTACATCTGGAGTTTTTGAGGAATCTGAAATATCCAAGTGGATGTGAAGCATCAGAATATTTTGTCATGCCTGAAGGAACCTTACTTGAGTGGATTTGTGTAAGTAAGCAAGAAATTATCTGGTGAATGGTTAGTCTGTAACTGGGAAGAGGCCAATCCTGGGAACACGGATTTGGAAATAATTAGCATAGGAGTGATGTTATAGCCACAAGCACAGGTAATATTGTTCAGTCAGGAAGTGAAGGATAGAAGGAGCAGTGGGCTAGCTAAGGAGTCCCACCAAGGATGCTAAGTAGGAGTAGAATTTTAATGGCATCTCAAGTCAGTGAGGGAAGGAATGGATTACCTAATAAATGGTGTTGGGATAAGTGGTAAACATTTATAGGAAAACTGAAAAGGTGGGTCCTTAAATGTACACTGAAATTAATTTTATATGGCTTGAAGCTTAAAATGTGAAACACCTTAAATGACTTGAAGGCAGTATCAGGACAATTTGCATAGTCCTGGCATGAGAAAAACCTTTATGGTTAGAAACAGCAAAGGACAAAATAGAGAAATCTGATCTAGTCAGAGTCAAACAAAAGACTCACTGGAAAGTAAAAGCGATTGGGAAATCTATTTGCTATGTGTATAACATAGTTAATATGCATATTAATATTTTTTTCTTAGCAATCATTAAGGAAATGATTAATGCCCAATTAGAAAAAGAGGCAAAAGATAAAATAACTTATAAATAAAGCATTGCAAATTACCATAAACATATGAAAGGATATTTTAATTACACAAGAAAATAAATGCCATTTATGGCCCAACAAAATAATTTTTTTTTTAAAGACAATCCTTGGTATTAGTGAAAAGTACTGGGAAATGGAGATGTTCCTGTTTCTTTCTAGAGATAAGTTTTCGTCATGTTTTCCTGTATGTTAAAGATTTCTTGGAGGAATGTTCTTCAGGTTGTTTAATAATAGAGTGCTTCATTGTTAAAATGGAAGAAACAAGTTCATTTGTTTGATAGATGTTTATATTTATTGAAGACTGTTACATACCAGTCACTCTTATAGTGTAGTTGAGGTGGGATATGAGTAGTCAGATATTACTCTAAAGTATGATGATAGAGTGAGTCCTGAAAGATGGAAGAATGAGAAGCATAGGAGACATTGCAGGGGGTCCTCTATGGAGGCAGTGGTTTTGGGGGAGGCCTTGAGACCAAAAGGAATGTGGAGTGTTTGGGGAGCTGCTGTGGTGTGGAGAGGAAGGGGTTCATGGCCATCTCTAAGGGCTGTTCCCGCAGTGTGGAACTGGAACTGGAACTGTGTATTGAAGCAGTGGGGAGCCTTTGGAGGATTTTAAGCATGGAAATGATATATTCAAACTTGTTTTGATGTGCTGAGGTTCATAATGGACCAGCTCTTGAATTAACAGGGAAGTCTACACTGCAATGGAGATTACTAAAATTGACATGGAGGGTCCTGAAAAACAAAAACTTTGGAAGACAGTCTATTTTTAAAAGTTCCTGGGAAATGCCAAGGAATTAAGAAAAAAAATTGACAAGATTATTCTATTTGAATAATAGACCAAAAAGTTATTTTGGGGAATGAATATCCTGCATTATGTACAGTGATAGATTTGTCTTTATAATGTAGCAAATGTTAAATTTCATTATTATTCTCCTACATACAGACTGCATATTGAAGCATGATACAGTGGAATCTCTAAGCAGCCGAACTATCCTCTAACTCAGGTTCCCAGACTGTCACAGTTCACAGTGCCCGTCGCGTTTTGTTAATGCTTTTCATGATGCTTGTAGTCAAAAGAATTACCTAACAGTTCTCTTTATGAAATAGCTGGGTCCAGACAATTTAATGACTATTTATGATCAAACACTTTAGTAGCAGTTTGAAGAAATAATGTGTATCTACTTAAAAGGAGAAATATAATTGTCCCTCTATCTCTGTGGGGGCACGTTCCAAGACCTTCACAGATGTGAAAATCTTTGGATGTCCAAGTCCCTAATATAAAATGGTGTGGTATTTGTATATAACCTGTGCTTATCCTCTCATATGCTTTAAATCATCTTTCATACAATGTTAATGCCATGTGAGCAGTTATATGGTACTGTTTTCATACTGGTTTTTATTATTGTACTGTTTTATTGGTTTTGTTTTCTGACTATTTTCAGTTCAGGGTTGGTTGAATCTGTGGTTGCAGAACCCTGGGATATGGAGGGCCTATGGTAGTATTTTTCTTTCATTCTTAAAAAGCCTTAATTACTGATGAGATGTGTGAACCTATTGAGTACTGCATAGCTTCTCAGATCTTGGAAACCAGCACCCTCATTTCCGTTTCTACATTGATTTGTTTGGGTAGTACTTGTGTTTTATCCCACCAATTACTAGTCCCTCCCTCCCTTCACCAAAGATAGAGATATGACGTCACATAAAAAAAAGTAGCATGACCAAATATTGAAACTGTGGACTACCTTGCACTAACGGTTTTCAGAATGTTGGACAGATGTCGCTTTGTTTCCTTCAAAAACTTAGATATTCTGTGATAGCTTTTCAGTTTCCTTTGGTATCTTGGGATACGTCAGTGCAGTTTGGGAGCCAGAGCTTTAACTTAGGTTCCTCGTGTCAGCAGTACCTGGGTTAGCATGCAGCCTAACGATGAAAGTATACTGTGGGCATATAATCATTTGTGCCTTGGTTTTAATTCAGCCAGCTGGCTTAGAGTTTTTGGTGTCTGCTTTGTGCCAGGTACTGCTTGGACACTGAGGGTTACGTGAACTCAGGGATGTGTTTGCTCCCAGGGATCTGACAGTCTGTGGGGAGAATTACAAGATTGGGAAGTGAAGCGGTAGAGCAGAAGTCAGCAAACTCTTTCTGTAAAGGGCCAGGCAGTAAATATTTTAGGCTTTGTGGACCATTCAGTCTCTATCCCAGCCTCTCAGCTCTAACATTGTCATGGGAAAGTAGACATAGATTGTACTTAAACTAATGGGCATGGCTGTGTTCTAGGAAGATTTACAAAATCAAGAGGCGGGTAAGATTCGGCCTGTGGAACATGAATTGTGCAACCCCGTGACATAAATATAATTAAAGTGTTGTAGAAGCAGCAGAAGATGGCATCTAACATTCTGGGGACTCTCAGAGGTGATGACAAACATACCCCCTGCTAGGAGCATCACCGCTGACTTGAGGAGGGTGCAGATGAAATTAGAAGGGAAAATGGGTGCTGGCCTGAGGAGTGCTGAAGGGTCCAGCAGCTGTGGTACGGCAGCCATTTTAGTGTGGTCCGGACACACGCAGCAGGGGCAGTGTGCAAGGCCTCTTTGTAGGTTCCGACTCCAGTTGTATGGATTGTATATTTTCTCTCTTGTTCTTTTTTGTTTTGTACCTCATTTTGGTCAACCGTGTCCTGCAGTAGCTTCCAGAGAATGGGTACATGGAAGGCGATATATCTTTCGACATCTTGCATGTCTTCGTAAAATGTATGTTATCAACTCAACAGCTTGAGTATAGAATTTAAGTGTGAAAATAATTTTCACTTGTATTTTGGAAGGTGTTCTTTTTAGCTTTCATTGCTAAGAAGTCTGGTGTGTTCCTCCTCTTCTCAAGAATATTTATGGGTCACACACCCAGTCTCATGTACACCTGTAACCTGCTCTGGAGGTGGTGCTGTCACCATCCCTGTGTTACAGTGGGGGTTTGTCCACACTCACACAGCAAGTCACAGAGGCCTTGAGTGATTTATTATGATGTTGTTCTTATTCCTGAGCCCTTGTGTATGGCCTCCACTCCCTGGAAACTTGTAACATCTTTGATACAGTTATTTTGATATTCTCAGTGATGCATCTTGCTATCAGTCTTTTCAAATTCCTTGTGCTGGGTTATGTGGGCTCTTTGAGGACTAGATTTTTGCTAGGACTAGATCTATATACTGATAAATTTTGCATACATCTTTGTTACTGCAGCTATCTCCTAGTTAATCTCCTTGAAACATCACTTTGTTGCAGCTTCCCTCTTTCTGAAAAGCTGTTCATGCCTTCCTGTGCAGTCTAGTCTTCCCAGATAGAACTTCTTAGTCTGGTCAAGTTTATGTTTTTCATAAGTATTTCTTTCATTTAACTTGAAGAGCCCCTACACTTCACTTCAGTAACACAATGGAGTCTACCTAACTGCAGAGTTTATGATCCTGAAAAGCCTTCTTCACTGGGAGCTAATGCTTGAGGAATTTAAGATCTTGTGGGAGGGAAATGGGATAAGGAAAATCGTTGCTGGTCAAAGTTTTTAAACAATGTTGATGTTTCCTCCTAGGAAACAGTAAAGAAAGGGACACTAGGAAGAATACAAATGAGCAGTGCGGGTACTGTTTACTGCCTGTGTGATTGCCCTTGTTTGGCTCAACTCCCAATATCTCCACTCCTGTGGATCGGTGACCCACTCGTAGGTTTATTTACCTTTACAGTAGTTCAGGGTCTTTTCTTTTCTTCTTCACGTGTTCCAGCTTAGCATTTAATTTCTTTTGAGAATTAATGACAAGGGAGTTATCTCATTGTATCTCAAAAAGATAGATTCTTGAGATAAAAGATGCTTTAGGCAGTCTTAATTCCTTATATCCTGACCGTGCAGGTGTTGCCTGAGGCCTCCTTCTGCACCCAAGGCTGGAGGCTTCAGTGCCATCAGGCTTAGGTTCGTGCCAGCAGGACATGCTGACTCATTCTCTGTCACATTTCCCCCTCTGTCTCTACCTACCTGTCCCCACCACCGCCACCATATTTATGTATATATAGAGAGGGGTTGGGGGACGGGAACAGAGACAAAATAGGCAACAAAATGTGTTGGGACTACAGTTTCTGGTATTTAGCTTTACTTTTCTCAACTCTTTTCCTAATTTTCTTCAGCAGAAAGGCCCTAAACCTCATGTACATTGGAACCAGAATTCCCAAGCTTGAGAAAAATACAAGTCAAGGTACATGTATGAACACTCATCTTCACAAACAAGGCCTTTAAAAGCTCAGGGTCATGTGTTGACAGGACCGAACTTTGCCATGTGGGGCCCCAGGCTCAGGTTCTGCCTGTGCTTCATGATGGTCTAAGATTGAGGTCAGCATATGTGTAAAGAAATAGAACCAGATATTTTTCTTTCCATTCAACAATCTTATAAATTTATTCTGCATGATTGCTTTTCTTTAGCAGAAGAGTTTATTGACTTCTTAAATCCTTTAAAATAATTAGTATAGGAGACAAACTGGTCATCCTTGGGCAGGAAGGATACTGCCCATGAGCATGTTTTGTTTGGCCTTTAGAATGTGTACAACATATGCATTATTTTCTTACATTTACAAACTTTGGTGTTTCATTTAAAATGCCAGATTTCTACCTTGTCTGGAAAAATCAGCATCTTTGGCAAAATGAGGCTGGTGGCTGCCACTTTTATGCTCGGCAGAGGGGCCGCAGTTTGCACCTGCTGTGAAAACGTTTGTTCCTTGCTTTGCCCCTGCATATTTGCATTGGCACCCTGTTGTCGCATCCTAATTTTGAAAGTTAGATCCTGAAATTCTATAAAAATTCGTGCTTCTCTAAGGAATAAGGCATTGACAGGGTAAAAAAAGTGAATTCTGACAATATTTCTATCAGGAGTGCATAGAGAAAAGCTTCCCAAGCATCCCTTTTTTCTCAAAGTACCTCAGAAGGCTCTGTTCGTGTATTGTTCTGGCCCACAGTAAGTCCATTTGAAAGTTTTGCTTGGTAGGGAAGTCTGATGTGTCATAAGCATAATACTGCATTGCCCAAAATTCTCTGTGTAAATGTATCACACCAGGAAGTCTTCTTTATTATCCTGCTTAAGTTAAGCAGGCTTCGGTGACACTGCCCTTAATCCTTCTGTCCCTGGGCACTGCCTTCCTCCTGCTCACTGACCTCCTCAGCAGAGTCTTTGATCCGTGGCTGTTGCTGGCGTAGGCTTTGTGCAAGCTCCCTACTGTCTGCATGCCTGTTCCCTGCCAGCAGGAATGGAATATTACAGCTTCACTTTGGGAAGTCTCTTATGTGGATCCTGAATAGAGCATGGCTGTGTGCTGCAATGGTTGAGGCTGAGGCAGGGAGGGATTAAGTGATTTACCCTCAGCCATACCACTAATTAGTAATGGAGCCAAGATTAGCTTCTAAATCTGGAAGCACCTGGTCCAGAGCTCTTCCTCAGCTGCCTCCCTCCACCCCTTCTTGCCCTTCTTCCTGGCATGGCAGTAGGACCTGTGTCTCTTTTTAGAATAATCGAAACTTGTAGCGAGGGACTGTTTCATTTCAAGATAATGTTTAGCCAGTCAGTGAATATGGTTTATGATTATTTTAGTCAGGGTTTGAGTTTTAGGGTCCTGTTTGGCTCCATTACTCAGTTATTCTTGTACAGTTGTGTAATTCTATAAATTCGGCAACTGGCATTTTAGACATTTTGTGAATACATTTTCATTCTAAGAAGTAAACTCAGTGACTCTGGAATTGACTAGGAAGTTATTCATTCATCCAGAAAATAATAGAACACTTTTGAAATGTGTGCTCACGCCTTGTGCATGTTTTGGTTATAATTAAGCTATTTGGGATTCATTTCCTGGGTTTTTGACAGTACTTAGCAGTAGCCAAGAAGAGAGCTTGCCATCTGCTTTCACTAAGAAGAATATTTTTTTGAATTCTCTCAATGGGCTCCAGTTGTTTAAGTGTTGGATCTCCTTTTCTTTATCGAGTCTCCATTTCTCATCTCTTTTCCCACATTTTCTTCTACTTTTTTTTTTTTTTTTGGTATTTTTTTCCTGAAAGATTATGCAATCTTTTTCTTATTTTAATATTTAATATCAGACAATATATGTTTAACTTCTAAGAGGTATTTTTATTTCCTGTTATTCCTTTTTTATTGCATCCTCTTGTTTTTTATAGTTATGCCATGTTTACTCTGAGGATACTATTTAGAGTTTTCTTAGGTTCGTTTTTTTAAGTTTTCTTGTTTCCTATATCATCCTCATTTTCTCTGGAAATACTTTTTATTTTCCTTTTGGTTATCCTAAATTTCTCTTTAATATTTTAGCCTTTGCTTATATGTTTTGTGATCTTTGGTGCCCTGTGCCAATGTTGTAATATAATGAGGCAATTTTAGGTCTGACACAAGAGTTTTCAGTGTATTGGAAGGACCTTGTTTGCTGGTGGTGTCCCCCTAGGAAGAAAGGATGAAGGGTGGATGGGAATTTCATTACTGTGGGAGATCCCTAAATGTCCAGTGTGCAACATCTCCATACTGTTACCCTAGTTTTTTCTCTTTAAATTATTAAATTTATATGAAATAGAAACTTTCCATCACCATGTAAATGGGAAACAAAACTAATATTACTTGTCGTAAATGACTAAACACAAGTTAACATACTAATAAAATACATAAAAATATCAATCCAGGTATCACTTAAAATTGTCAAAACTTCAGTCTCATGCACTGCTTTTCTGCATTTTAGTAGTGTTGGAGTAGAGTTGATAGCCATGTGCTTATAATTTTGTTGTAATTTTATAATTATAGTTATAATTTTGAACTTGAAGCCCATCATTTGAAAATTGGCCTTCTAGTAGATACCTAAAGCAACAACTGTGTCCAATTATTGATGTCTCCACAAGCCAAGGAAACTTGAGTTTAAGTAGCTCCAAAGTCTCTAAATGTACAATGTTTCAGAATCTGTCAGAATCTATTTGAGTGTTTGTGTACACAGTATAAGGTGAGCCTTCAGAACAATCTGAACACCATCTGAAACTCTTCTCCTAACCTAGGACTGATTGCATTGCACAGATGATGGATATTTACGTGTGTTTGAAACGAGCATCCTGGATGGTGGACAATAAAAGAATGAGGACTGCTTCAAATTTCCAGTGGCTCTTATCAACATTTATTCTTCTATATCTAATGAATCAAGTAAATAGCCAGAAAAAGGGTAAGTGCATCAGCCTTCCAGAGAATGAACAGATTGCAGTTTTATTTCCATGATGAAGTAATTTTGTTGCTTTATTGATCCCTTTAGGATTTTGTTGGTTAAAATTCGTTTTTTTGTCATCTTTTTTCTATGTACTTTTAGTTCTTTTAAAAGATCCTTAATGATAGATCAAAATATTATTTTACCATAAAAATATAAGATATAATTTATATTCAATAAAATTTGCCTTTTTCAGATTCAGTTCTGTGAGTTTTGACAATGAATATAGTTATGTAACCAGCAGCACAATCAAGATAGGGAACAGCCCCGGCACTGCAAAAGCTTCCTGGCTCCTCTGTAGTCAACCCTCCCGGGCCCATCCCCTGCCAGCGCTGCCTTGTCTCCATAGACACTGTTTTCTGTCTCTATAATGTTACCTTTTTAGAATGTCATATCAATGAAATCCAAATACTTTTAAATGTATTATGTTACATCTTGAATATATTAAGAATGTTTATGTAGATATTTTATAGCTTATTTCTATAAAGAAATTATCATCCTCCTGCCCCTTGGTTTAGTTTTTATATTATTTCCATATTTAAACAGATCTCTTTTCCCCAAGGTCCTTCATTAGATTACTTTATTATTATGATTATTGCTGCTTTATAATGTGAGTACTTTTAATGTAATATTTGTTTTTCTGTCTTATATAAACAGCTTTATAATTGATTCCTACAGTGAAGATCATACCAACCATGTACAAAAACAAAAACAAAAACATTTTTCATAAACATTTATAGAATCTGAGATGGACTACCTTTTTTATTCTGTAATTGCCTTTTCCCCTTCTTTCCCTCCTTTCTTCCCTCTTTCCCTCTCTCTCATACCCCCCTTCTTTTTACTCATTTTTTTTCGGGGTGACTGTTTTCATTGCATAGTGCTTACATATTCCATGATGTAATGTTATTTTATAGATGTAAGTACTAGTAGGATTGTAATCTTTTGAATTGTTGCTTTTCAATTGTTTAGGCCCACACCAAAAACACATTTCTCAAATGAACTCATGAGTTTATTACTGTTTAAATTTAATATACTTCATAATAACCTAAAGATTAGTTATGGGAGTTCTACCAAGGGGGCAGTCTGGTAGCAAGCAGTGAAGTGGTGGTGGCTAGGAGTTTCAAAGTTTTGTTTAAAGACTTGGAAGGCACATCATTTTTACTTAAGACTTATTTGTTTTTGGTTTTTGTCTTTGTTTTTTCCTCAAGTGGGGCTATTGAAGATTCAAGAGGTGCTAGAATCTAGCCTCACGCCCTCTCTTGGTCCCATTATTGAATCTACATGACTAGCCACTCACTCCCTTGATTTGTCTTAGTTGCTTGAAAGTGGAATTTTTGATAGCAGCCTAACCCCAAAATGGTCTAGTAGCTGGCCCACTTTCATCAGTTTACCCTTTAGTTTTTTTTTTTATCAAAGCTGCAAAAAGAAATAGAAAACCAGTCCACTCCCATGACTGCAGGATCATCTTTTTGAAAAAACATGGGCTCTCTACAGACACACATGCTTGTACTTAAAACTGAAAATGCTTGACCTTTTAGAGTGCAGTTTACTTACTCAGCATATTCTCTGTGTGTGTGTGTGTGTGTGTGTGTATGTGTGTTTCTCCTTCTCCAGGAGCTCCTCGTGATTTGAAGTGTGTAACTAACAATTTGCAAGTGTGGGACTGTTATTGGAAAGCACCCTCTGGAACAGGCCGTGGTACTGATTATGAAGTTTGCATTGAAAACAGGTAATTTTAATTCACAATGAGCTAGGTTGAATTGCAGAAATGACCCTCAGTTCTTACTTTCTTGTTGCTTGTGAAACTAGAGGGTTATTTCCTGCTTGTGTTCTGTGTCCAGCAGAGTCTGCCATGACTTCTGCCTCATTTTTCTCCTGTAGGGCACCAGGTGTTATGAGGTGTGATAGCAAGGTGAGAAGAGGGGACAGAGTCTGCACTGGCTTTCAGAGCCTCCTTCTTGATCTGGTAGATAAGACTGTCACTCAGATTTTTCCCACCAAATAAAGCCACATGGCTATACCTTGCTTCAGAGAGGCAGGGAAGGATGGTCTTAGTGTGAGTCCAGAAAGGGGACCCTGAAAAGTTTACTGAAGAGCACACATGCCCACCACAGGCCAAACAGAGAGGAAGTTAGTTCTGGTCCCCTGCTCCCCTGGTCACAATAAACAAATAGTAACAATGCTGTGGGTTTTGTGCAAGGGAGTGTACACTAGGAGTATGAAAGTCCAGAAAGGCTGTCAGAGGAGGTATAATTCTGGAGTAGGCACACTCAGTTTTCTCAGCAGAAAAGCAATAGGAGGACATTCCACCCTGAAAGAATATTGCGTACAATGGCTTAAATGTATGAGATGGCATTATTTGGAGAATTCAGGTGTTCATTGCTGGTGCCTAAAGAAGCCTTGCCATGTGAGAGGTTTAGAAGGAGATGAGCTGGACCCATTCACGTCCAGAGTCCTAAGCACCCAGAGATACCAGGGGAACTGGAAGTATTTTAGAAACAGAACTGAAGAGGAAGTTCTGTTAAGAATAAACCGTGAGCCAAGGCAGAGGAGCAGGGGAGTTGCCAGTTTCATTTCCTTCATCAGCATCCATTGAACATCATCCTAGCATGAGGAGCGCTGTGATGTGCTGGTCCCCCAGTGAAGGGGTGGAGCATGAGCAGTGGAAGTCAGCCTACAAAGGGAAGGTTGAGGTGGGATTTTGAAAGGCATGCAAAAACTCCAGCTATATGGAGTCCTCTGTGCTTACTCTACTTTTTGGTACAATGTGGTTGTTTTTCCTACCCCTACATTGGTAAAATTACTACCAATCTGTTTTTTCAGTCTTAAAATGCAGTACAACCTATCATGTTTTTGCAACAAAAGGGGCATAAAGTTTTTTCCTTTGTATTTTGTGTTAACCAAATTTTTATGAAAATTATACTATTAATTTTATTTGCTAATTAAAATTCAATTTCTTCTTATTACAGGTCCCATTCTTGTTATCAACTAGAGAAAACAAATATTAAAATTCCAGCTCTTTCACATGGTGATTATGAAATAACAATAAATTCTCTACATGATTTTGGAAGTTCTACGAGTAAATTCACACTAAATGAACAAAACGTTTGTAAGTATTTGCAAACAAACTCGATTTTAAAGTAACTCAAGTGTCATTTGTTAGTATTGTGGTGCTTTCTAGTTATTTGAATTTCATGTGTTATGCTGATACTTTTAATTCACTGAGCAACCTTCCTATGAATTGTAAATGGTAGCCAAGATCAGAAGGAAGCAAACTTTCTTCTGGCCAATCAAAATATCCCAGAATTCAAGCTCCTTCCCTCAGTTCTATACTCTTTCCTTAGCCCCCTTGACTCCTGCGTACCTTCCAGAATTTCTCAAATGCCCCTCGCTCTAGGGCATAGTCTTGTCTGGGAAGCTACTGAAAAATGACAGTATTAGAATCAGAAAGGCAAATCAAGACAGACTCTAGGAGACTCAGTCGATTAATAGTTCCTTGTATTTTACATATCGTGTAATGTATTGGTAGCATTATAAATAATAATGGTCCTGATTGTGATTAGAATAACAGTATTGGGGTAAGAAAATTGAAAAGCAAATTAGGTGAGTGTAAGGAAGGGAGGAGATGGATACATCAGCAAATCTTTGAGCACCTACTGTGTGCAAGAGAAGCTCTGCAATGCATGTATAGCTGTCCTTTAGAGAATCTGGGTCTCTTGACAATTTGCTACTAAATAAAAGTATGAAAATTGAGTGTCTGTGGATCTAAAGATGCTTTTGAAATTACATAAAGCAAACAAGATTTTGTGTACATATACACACACACAGAGAGTAAAGTTTGTACTTCCCTTGTGTAAGCATGAAAAATTCTTAAGATTTTTAATGTCTGCATTTCTTAAAATCACCTGAAAATTTGGGTCATTCTGAAGCAGAATAAATAACGTGGGTCCTGTAAAAAAGCTGGGAAAACTCTTACCTCCTGATGTCCTAAGGAAGCAAGAGCGTGTAGTTTCTGGGTAAAGCTGAATTAGCATTAGAAGAAAATAAGAAAGACTTTCATTAAATTTCTTCCCTGAGTTTCTAGAAAGCAAGTTAGCATTGTCCTCACATGTCTGTTTAGCACAAAATGAAGATGGTAGTTCATGGGAGCTTAGGGGAAACTTCCCTATATGCTATAAAGAAAAGAAAGGGAACAGTGGCTTTTTAAAATCCTTGTATTTGTAATTATGGCCATTACTGTCTTTAGCGTGAAATGTTGGATATGACTTGTGTTTTTAAGAGTAGCCCACTGCTATTTAAATAAAATGTAAATTATGTGGACTTTTCAGGGAGAGAAGCATTTTAAAGATGAGCATTGTCTTAGTACAATACTCCCATGTTTCATAAATTGTAAGTTACTACATCATGTGACATACTGAATCATTTGAAAGAAGAGCCGTGTTCTTGGAAGCCTCTTGCTCTTTTCTGGTCACACTGGCACCCTGAACTTTCCCTGTCCTGGTGCTAAATTAACTTCTTACCTCTCGTTTGTCTGCATTTTTTCCTTTTTCACAAGCAGCTGCCCACTTATAATCTCTTTATGAAGCATCCTCCACTGTCCTTATACAGCTGTGTAACTGGTGTAACTGTTGACTTTGCTCTGTAGTTTAGACTGTAAATCCACATGTTCTGTGTCGTGTACAGCCCTAAACACTTTACATAAATCCAGTATCAAACACTGTATAGGGCAAATTTTAGTTAAATGTATTATTAAGAACTATTTTTAAGTTCCAAGATCAATGTGTATTGGTTTGTTCTGCCCTTTTTGTTGTTTAGCATATTCAGCTACTCTAGCCCTGCGCTCTCCTGCAGTTTTGGGCTTACCATGACTAGATGTAATTGGTCCTTGAGCTTCTAGGATAGAAATGAGGCAAGAAAGGATGAGTCTATGAATTTCTTCTAACTCACCTTTACTTTACTGTTATTTAAGGAAGGAACATGGAAGAAAGTCCAAGTCTCTCTGATTCTCAAACCAGAAAGCCTACATTTTATAGAATGGAACGTGCTCATACCTTCTTTGTTTTCCATTGGTTCAAAATTTTCCATGATTTATCTGTCATTAGGGAGATGTAATGATTTTCAAGGATACATTATTCTTCATGCTACCTTTTTTAGTGACCTGGATTCTCCCTAGGAGATGCCCAAACCTTCGAGCATGGATTTTTTTTTCTTTACCTTTTGTAATGCAGCTTCAGAGCCCACTGTTCTCCTAAACTTCTTTCTCAGATATTAACAGTAGCCTTGCCAATGGTTTTTCCACAGTCGTCTTCTATAAACTGTTCTTTTTGGCCCAGATAACAACTATTTGTTTTTATTTTGATGATCCTGGATTTTCTCTGGTTTCCTTCTGCTTCTAGGGTTCCCTCTCTGGATTCATGTTGGTGTTTTCCGTTCCTCGGAGGTGTAATTGTCTATCCGCAGCCCCTAAAAGGAGCTTTGGCTGGTTTATATCTGTGTGTTCATGCTCTTTTCTTCCACTACACTCAGTGAGTTCCTTTTAAGTCTACATCCACGGTTCTGACTCCGTGATGTCTTCTTCCCCTGACACTTACTCATCCACAGCCAGGCTTCTGTGTCTCTTCACAGTGACTCCCAATTCCTTTTGCTCCTCTTGCTGCTTTCTGAGCTAGAAACTTGAGAGAATATTGGTTGTTTCCCTTTTGCATTAGAACCAACCCTTTTTTTCTTTAATCTAGTCAGTTCTTTGAAATGTCCATGACATCTTTTCCTTAGATGGCATCTTAGTTTATATCCTTGTTACTCTAGCCAGGATTGCTCCAGTGGTCTCCTAATTGGTCACCTTATCACCTGTCTCAGTCCCCCTCAGTCTGTGTTGCATACCCTGATAAAGGAACCTTTCTGACATACTTCTTACATCCTGCTACTTCTTACATCTTACAACCTGCTATTTCTGCAAGTAACCATTGACTTCTTAATTCAATGCCTTAGTCACTGAGACAATCCTGCTACTATTTAATGGTATCTAAAATCAGTAATGCCCATAGCATTTCTCAAGTGGTTGACATCCCCCAGCATGAGGGACTCTGACACCAGGAGATGCCTGAGACAGCTGCAGAGAAAACAGAGAGAAGCCTTTACCAAAACAAACTTTCTATATTTTGTCATTTTCTTAGGGTAGTCTACAGCCATACAGAGGAAGCTTGTTTTCTTCTCTCTGATGTTGCCTACCTGTAGGTTCCTGACTAAATGACACTATAGTACTATAGAAACCTAGTTGCTGTTTGTATTAGAAAATGTGCTGTGGATTTGAAACAGCCAGCTAATAAATAATTTTCTTAAATTTGGCTGATTAAGTATTGGGAGCTACCTCTACAAATAAATAATATATTTGTTCCCCTTTTTCAGAAATTTGAGAGAATATTGGTTGTTTCCCTTTATCATTAGAACCAACCCTTCATTTCTTTGATCCAGTCCTTTCTTTGAAATGTCCATGACATTTTATCTTTTCCTTATATGGCATCTCAGTCCATGTCCTTTTTACTGCAGCCAGGATTACTAGGTTCTAGAGTTTCCTTTTAAATCTTGAGTGTTGATTTTTTGATCAAGAAGAAATAGAGTTTATAAGTAGTTGATTAGCAGAGTTACAGTATGAAAAATCATTACTTATTTTACTAAGTTTTCTCTTTTGTTTCCTTTTTTTAAAGCCTTAATTCCAGATACTCCAGAGATCTTGAATTTGTCTGCTGATTTCTCAACCTCTACATTATACCTAAAGTGGAATGACAGGGGTTCAGTTTTTCCACACCACTCAAATGTTATCTGGGAAATTAAAATTCTACGTAAAGAGAGTATGGAGCTCGTAAAATTAGTAAGTTTGAACATAGATTTTCTTCCTATGACATTAAAGAAACTGAATACTTTTTTTTTCGGAAAGTCTTAAGGTGGTATCAGTGAACTTTTGGATTATTTAGGAAGTAAATCAAATACCTTTCAGGGTTCATTGAAAACATCATGCATCATTTAAAAATCACTTGTTAATTATTAAAAGATGTGTAACCGTTATAGATAGCTTAGGAAATTAGGGGAGCAATAAGCCGTGATTCTACCATCTGAACATAGTAAGTACTGTTTTTGTGTATTCCTGTCTGGACTGGTTTATATGCATGTTTTTATGTAAATGAAAGTATACATTTAATTTAGTGTATTATTTTACCTTTGTCTAATGTTTTGAAGCATATTTAGCCAGAGTTTAGCCATAGAGCATTTTTTTATAAATCTATAAGCTCGAATTTATCAGTACATGCTTTTTCTCTCTCTCGTTTTTTCAATCCTGTTTATGAATGACCTCTAAGGAGTCATGAACAACAGGTATGAAAAATTTGACAGCTGTTACATGGAAATGCTCCCTTTCAGCATTTTACTCTTTTTCTTGATAGATTTGGAGTTTGCTTAGTTACAGGTTTAATAATTAGAAGACCATCTTGTGATTTTACAATTTGTTTAAGTTGCTCAAGTACATAGATTAGTAAAGATAATAAGAAAAGATTATTCTATATTTCATACTTTCTTATTGTTTCTCTTTGACAACCCACGTATTTCATTCCTAAAATAACATTAGTCAGCTAGCACCTAGCCTATATGGGACAATAACCTGTTGCTTCTAGGCCACATACAAACCTGTATGGTGTGTTACTGTACTGAATAATGGAGGCAATTGTAATGATGGTAAGTATTTCTGTATCTGAATATATAAAAGGTATGTTAAAATATGGTATAGAAGACTTTAAATGGAGGAGGGGCTTCAAGATGGCTGACTAGAGGCATCTCGTACTCACCTTCTCTACAACAAAGAAGCAAGATAGGGAGTAGTAGTCACACTTCAAATAGATCGTCCCAGAGAGAGCATCGGGATTCAAGAGAAGTGACAGGAAGCACCTAAAGCAGGGAAGGGAGAGGAAAGTGAGGCAGCCAGCAGAACACCAGCAGTGGCCCCACTGCTAAAGTGTATTCCATGTGCCCAGAGTCCCCTGCCTGTGGCTGCTGAAGCACAAGTGGGGCATGATGTGCCGCTGCTAAGGCTGAAGTGTGAGAGAAGCGCAGACTGCAGCTGCTGAGACTAGAATGCAACGGAGTAAAGAGACAGTCTGTTGAATGGGAGAAAACATTTCCAAACTATTTGTCCAACAAAGGACTAATATCAAGAATCTACCGTAAACTAAAACAACTCAACAATTAAAAAATTAATACTCCCGGCCGGGCGCGGTGGCTCAAGCCTGTAACCCCAGCACTTTGGGAGGCCGAGACGGGCGGATCACGAGGTCAGGAGATCGAGACCATCCTGGCTAACACGGTGAAACCCCGTCTCTACTAAAAAAATACAAAAAACTAGCCGGGCGAGGTGGCGGGCGCCTGTAGTCCCAGCTACTCGGGAGGCTGAGGCAGGAGAATGGTCTAAACCCGGGAGGCGGAGCTTGCAGTGAGCTGAGATCCGGCCACTGCACCCCAGCCTGGGCGACAGAGCAAGACTCTGTCTCAAAAAAAAAAAAAAAAAAAAAAAAAAAAAAAAATTAATACTCCCATTGTAATGTGGGCAAAGGACATGAATAGACATTTCTCAAAAGAAGACATATGGACAACAGGTATATGAAAAAATGCAGCCACATCACTACTTACCAGGGAAATACAAATTAAAACCACAGTCAAATTAACTCACTTATGTTAGAATGGCTTTTATTAAAAAGACAAAAAAACTTATACGTTGGTGAGGATGTGGAACATGGGAAGCTCTTATACAATGTGATTGGGAATGTAAATTAGTACAACTACTATGGAAATCGGTATGGAGATACCTCAAAAAACTAAAAAGAGAACTCATATAGGATCCAGCAGTCCCACTTCTGGGTATCTATCCAAAGGAAAAGAAATCAGTATGTTAAAGGGTTACCTGAATTCATGTGTTTATCATGGCACTATTCACAATAGAAAATACATGGAATCAACCTAAGTGTCCCTCAGTAGATGAGTGGATAAAGAAAATGTGATATATATACACAATGGAATTCTGTTTGGCCATAAAAAAAGAATGAAATCATGTCATCTTCAGCAACCAGGATGGAACTGGAGGCCACTATGCTAAGTGAAATAAGCCAGGCACAGAAAGATAAATATAATATGTTTTTACTCACTCATGGAGACTAAAAAAGCTGATCTCATGGAGGTAGAGATATTATTAATAATAGAATGATAAATACTAGAGGCTGAGAAGGGTATGTTGGTGGGACAGGGGCAGGAAGAGAGGTTGGTGAATGGGTACAAATATACAGTTAGATAGAAGATATAAGTTCTAATGGTAGATAGCCAAGTAGGGTAACTGTAGTTAGCATCCATGTATTATATATTTCAAAGTAGCTAGAAGACTTGAAATGTTCCCAACACATAGAAATGATGATACTTATAAGATAATGGATACCCCAAATACCCTGACTTGATCATTACACATTCTGTACATGTAATCAATACTCACATGTATCCCATAAATACTATGTATCAATAAAATGTTTAAAGAGATAAAAAATGGTACACCTGTATAAGGCACTTACCATGAATGGAGCTTGCAGGACTGAGTTTCTCTGGGTGAGTCAGTGAGTGAATGTGAGGGCCTAGGACATGACTCTTCACCACTGTAGTCTTTATAAACACAGTACAATTAGACCACACTAAATTTATAAAACTTTTTTTCTTTCTTTGGTAATAAATTAACCTTAGCTTACTGTAACTTTTTTACTTTAGAACTTTTAATTTTTAAAAACGTTTTGACTCTTTTGTATTAACACTTAGCTTGAAACAAATACATTGTACAGCTGTACAAAAATATTTTTATATCCTTACTCTATAAGCTTGTTTGTATTTTTAAAAATTATTTTTCTTTAACTTTGTAAGCTATTTTGTTAAAAACAAAGACAAAAACACACACATTAGCCTAGGCCGACACAGGGCCAGGATCGTCAGTATAACAGTCTTCCACCTCCACATCTTGTCCCACTGAAAGGTCTTTGGGGCAGTAACATGTGTGGAGCTCTCATCTCCTCTGGTAACAAGGCCTTCTTCTGGAATCCCTCCTGAAAGACCTGCCTGAGGCTGTTTTACAGTTAACTTTTAAAAACGTGTAGGAGTACCCTCTAAAATAATGATAGAAAGTGTGGTACACTGTATACATAAACCAGTAACATAGTCATTTATTATCATTATCAAGTATTATGTACAGAGTACAATTACATGTGTTATATTCTTATACCAGCAGCACAGTAGGTTTGTTTATACCAGCATCGCTACAGACACATGAGTAATATGTTGCACTATGCCATTATGTTAGCTATGATGTCACTTGGTAATAGGAATTTTTCAGCTCCATTATAATCTTAAAGGACCACCATGGTATATGTGGGCCCACATTGACTGAAATATTGTTATATAGCACATTACTGTATACCTTGATTCTTTTTATCCTCACAACAGTCCCAGGAGGGTGATACTATTATTATTCCCATTTTACAGATGGCAACAGAGTCACAGGAAGACTTTGGTGGAGTCAGGATTCCAACCCAGGCAGCTTGGTTTCCGAGTCTTCTCTTAACTGCTACAATTTATATTTTGGCGCCTGTAGTCCCAGCTACACGGGAGGCTGAGGCAGGAGAATGGCATAAACCCGGGAGGCGGAGCTTGCAGTGAGCCGAGATCCGGCCACTGCACTCCAGCCCGGGCGACAGAGCGAGACTCCGTCTCACAAAAAAAAAAAAAAAAAGAAATATATATATTTTTTAAATTTAAAATGTCGTCCTCTTCCTTCTCACATATCCTACTTGAACCTACATTTCAAGACCCAGGTCAAATCCTACCCCTTATTTTATTTTATTTGTTTTGTTTTGTTTTTAGAGATAGGGTTCTGCTCTGTCACCTCGGCTGGAGTACAGTGGCATTATCATATAGCTGACTGCAGCCTCAAACTCCTAGGCTCAAGGGATACTCTTGCCTCAGTGTCCTGAGTAGCTGGGGCTACAGATGCATGCAGCTGTGCCCAACTTTTTTTTTTTTTTTTTCCATTTTTTATAGAGATGGGGTCTCACTTTTTTGCCCAGACTGCCTACGCCTTATTTTAAAACCCATCCTTTTTTTTTTTTTTCGAGTCAGAGTCTCGCTCTGTTGCCCATGCTGGAGCGCAGTGGCACAATCTCGGCTCACTGCAACCTCCACATCCCGAGTTCAAGCAATTCTCTTGCCTCAGCCTCCCCAGTAGCTAGGACTACAGGCACGAGCCACCACACCCAGCTAATTTTTTGTATTTTTTAGTAGAGACGGGGTTTCACCGTGTTAGCCAGGATAGTCTCCATCTCCTGACCTCATGATCCACCTGCCTCAGCTTCCCAAAGTGCTGGGATTATAGGCATGAGCCACTGCGCCCGGCCTTAAAGCCCATCTTAATTCAGCCTACAAACTCTCACTTTTCTTGATTCTCATGGCAAGTCTTGTCTGTTAATCTAATTTGCAGCTAACTTTGATACAGCTCTACCAGTGCTGTCTTAAAGCTATTATTTATTTAAATTATATTGCTTAACTTGTCATTATGGCCTAACATTTTGCACTCTGGGTTACCACTTATGGGCTTAGGATAACTCCTCAAACCTCATTTTTATCATTGGTACAGTGGCAATATTTGCTCTAGGGTCTGCAAAGTAAATAGTATATCTGTAAAGCTGCTAAACAAATACTGTTTGTCACTATTCCCTTTAGGGATGAGTCTTTTTTATTTATTTATTTTTTTAATTTTGTAATTTTTTTTATTACACTTTAAATTCTGGGATACATGTGCAAAACTGAAGGTTTGTTACATAGGTATATATGTGCCATGGTGGTTTGCTGCACCCATCAGTGCATCATGTACATTGGGTATTTCTCCTAATGCTATCTTTCCCCTAGCCCCCCAGTCCCTGACAGGCCCCAATGTGTGATGTCCCCCTCCCTGTGTCCATGTGTTCTCATTGTTCAGCTCCCACTTATAAGCGAGAACATGCTGTGTTTGGTTTTCTGTTCCTGTGTTAGTTTGCCGAGAATGATGGCTTCCAGCTTCATTCACGTCCCTGCAAAGGACATGAACTCATCCTTTTTATGGCTGCTTAGTATTCCATGATGTGTATGTGCCACATTTTCTTTATCCGGTCTATCATTGATGGGCATTTGGGTGGGTTCTAAGTCTTTGCTATTGTGAATAGTGCTGCAATAAACATATGTGTGCACGTGTCTTTATAGTAGAATGATCTATAATCCTTTGGGTATATAGCCAGTAATGGGATTGCTGGGTCAAATGGTATTTCTGCTTCTAGATCCTTGAGGAATCATCACACTGTCCTCCACAATGGTTGAACTAATTTACCCTCGCACCAACAGTGTAAAAGCATTCTTATTTCTCCATATCCTCTCCAGCATCTGTTGTTTCCAGACTTTTTAATGATCGCCATTCTAACTGGCATGAGATGGTATCTCATTGTGGTTTTGATTTGCATTTCTCTAATGACAAGTGATGATGAGCTTTTTGTTATTGGCCACATAAATGTCTTCTTTTGAGAACTGTCTGTTCATATCCTTTGCCCACTTTTTGATGGAGTTGTTTGATTTTTTTCTTGTAAATTTGTTTAAGTTTAGATTCTGGATATTAGCCCTTTGTCAGATGGATAGGGACAAGGCTTTTTTATTTTTAAGGTAACTTGAGGAGGAACTAACTAGAGAATACTAGAATTAAAGAGGGACACTCTGAAATGTGAGTGAAATCAGACTTAAATAAAGGGACTGTTATGCTAAAACCATATAGCTCATTCTACAACATGCGTAAGTCAGCCAATGACAAGACAGTAATTCCCTACTTTTGGGAAAAAATTTGTTTGGGAAAATAATAGCAAGAAGCAATGAGAAAGAACACATTTCTTTAGAACTGTAAAGGGAAAATGCCCCAGGACATTTTTATTAATAGTATGTTATTAATGTTAGTATTTAAGACAAAATTGCTTGCGATCATAAAATTGCTTGTAATCATTTTATGATGTTTTAATTCTATTATTTTGTAATAAGGCTATTATTTTAAAATTTAAAAATCAAGAATGCTTTGTATTCATGTTTGATTTGTGAGGCACTTGTCTGTGCATGGTCTCTGCGTCCAGCAGTGGGAGCTGTGTGCTGCGCACACCGGGAAGAGCTCACTAGGCACTGCTGCCCCCACACAAATACTCCTCCTTGACTTTCCCTGGAAACAACCTGTTTCAACTCTTTTAACTGATCCCTTTCATTATTTATCTTCATTTCTCCAAATAGCATGCTTATGTTGCTATTTCTTGATAGCAGCCCCCCTCCCTTTTCTCCTCTAACCCCACCGCCTTATCTCTTTCTGCTCCTCCCTCTGACTCCTTCTCCCTGCAGCCTGCCAGTTTCCTATCTTTTTCCAGTGGAATCTATGATAATTTTTGGTAGAACAGTATTAATCATTTGTATTATGGTCTATAAAAAAATCCACATTTTTTTGTCCACTCCTTATATTATCTTGTTTTTTTGTTTATTTCTCTGCTTCATCACTTTAATCCTAAATTCTTTGCAGGCAGTGTAGATCTCCTTGCAATTTTCAAATATACGAAGTACTTTATCAGTTTTATCTTTACGAATAAATCTCTCTGAGGGCCTTCTGACTGGCTTCCCAACCTTATTCACAGAAGGTTTCACACAGACACTGATAATATTTGTATAGCACAGAGTGTGGTAAAATAGCCGAGACCGCTTGTGGCCAGAGGCATCACAGAGGCTCCAGTAGCCTCAACCCCTACCGATCAGTTCTAGGTTTGAATGGATTAATACCTAGATATATTTATAGCTCACTCAAGATAGACCTCAGTGTCTTTCAACACATTCCTTAGGAAGCTGTGGTCCAAGGGGTCTCCATCATCTAGGGTATTTCCTACAAGTTTGTCTTAAGATGGATCTTCTTTTTGCTAAATCTCCAGTTTTTCTCTTATTTCCTCATTTTTGTGGAAGCATATACACTTGTCCCTTGATATCTTTTGGGGGCTTGCTTCCAGACCTCCCTTAGATACCAGAATTCAAAGATGCTCAAGTTCCTGATGTAAAATGGTGTAGTGTTTGCATATAATCTACGGGCATCCTCTTGTATATTTTAAACCCTCTTTAGATTATTTGTAATACCTAATACAATGTAAACGTTGTGTAAGTAGTTGTTATACTATATTGTTTAAGGAATAAGGACAAGAAATGTCTGCGCATGTTTAGCACAGATGCGAATTTTTTTCCAAGTATTTTTGATCCACAGTTGGTTGACCCCACAGATGGGAGCGATGAATAGAGGGGAGCCAACTGTATTCCAGTAGTTACTTGCTATTGTAGATATTCTCTGCTGTCTGTAACAGCTCACTTGCAAATATAATTTATTCTTTTAATTATTTAAAAAATTTAAAAGCTTGTCAATTACTAATACTGAGAAGTTGCAGAGGAACTGGAACTTTCATATCATACATTACTGGGCGGAGTGTAAAATGCTTACCAAATGAATACATGGAGATACCACATTTATGAAAATGTCTGTTCTGCACTCGTGCATGATTACTAGTTTAACTGGGTAAAAATTATAGGTTGGGAAATTTTGTCAAGATTTTGAAGGTATGATTCCATTGTTTCTTAGTGTGGATCTATCTTTATCTGTTGTGCTGGACACTCATTGGACTCCTGTCAGTCTAAAAACGCATGTGTGTCAGCTTGGGAATTTCTTGTTTTATTTCTTTGATTTGTCCTTCTCTCTTCTCCTTTTTTTTTTTTATTTTTTTTTTTAGAACTTCTGTTCTTCATGAACCTTCCACAACAATCCTCTGATTGTTTGTATCTTTCTTGTTTTCTATGTATTTTCTATTTTCTGAGAAATTTCTTCTAAACTGAATTTTGCATCTTGCTATTGAATTTCTATTCATATGTTTATTAATTTATAGAAGATCCTTTGAAAGAAAGGATTTTTTTAATGTATACAGTTTTTGTTTCATGGATGCAATATCTTATCTCTGAGGATGCTAATGATTAAAAATTTTTTTCTGCGTGCCCTGTTTCCTCACATTTTTTTCTTTTTCTTTTCTTTTTGGTCATTGACTTTCATATTAGAATTTCTTGTACACTTTCTGGTCATCCTGGTTGCTGCTCATAGTTAAGTGAGGGGCTCTTAAAAAAATTTTTTTAATCTAATTGGCACTTTGGTTTCTCTGGATAGGACTTGTTGATGAGGGCCCTCCCTCTAGAGTGATGAGGATGGGCTATGCAGGTGGCAAACACCAAATTTTATTTTAGGTATTTTATCTTGACCTGTTCATGTGACTTAGAAAAGTTCATTTAGGCTATTACCTGGTGAGGATTAATCTGGCAAACCAGTATCCTGGGAGCTGAGCAGAGGAAGAAGGCATAGGTTAGCAATCCCCCTGTTTTTGGAATGATAGTCCCCATTTTCATCTCTTCCTAAAATTCTTCAATCCAAAGATATTCTTTTTTACTCTTCCAGAACATATATCTTTATTTTTCTGCCAAGGTAAACAAAGGTAGTCCTTCGATAGCGTGGAGTATAGGAAGGGATCTGGGTAGCCAACATACCTTCAAACGACTTTCAAGCAATCCTGCTGTTTTGAGCTCTTTATTTCCAGGGAAGCCTGGGACAGCCACTCACTGAGCCCTTTGGCGTTTCTGTAATAGAAGCAAGCTGGTTTCCTGTATTTCCCATTGGATGCTTAAGATTGCGTTTTCTCAGGTCTTCTACATCAGTTACCATTATCCATTTGCTTTCCAGCTTCCAGATTTTAGTGATGTTGCTTTATCTCCTATATTTTGTATTTGTCCATTCACACCTTTTAAAAAAATCTGTTTACTCCTACTTTGAAGTGATTTCAGGAGGTAAGGGAGAAGGAAATATTTGTTTATTGTGTTTACCTAGAAGTCCCAAGTTATCTTTTATAGCACCTCAATATTTTATTGAAATCTTGCTCATTTCTTACAATTGATAATACTTTGTATTAGTATAACATACATATTTGAACTTCTATTTAAAAATAAAAGTAAATATATAGAATACTTATATAAAAAACAAATCTAGTCTTAAACTATTTTATTGAAATGCTGCTCCTCTGCTTGACTTAAACTTTTGAAAGTACAACCCCATTCATTACTTTTACTCCATGAAAAATTTAGATCATTAGGCAATGGTATACAGGTTGAGCATCCCTTATCTGAAAATCCAAAATTCAAAGTGTTTCAAAATTCAAAACTTTCTGAGCCCCACCATGATGCTCAAAGGAAATGCTCACTGGAGCATTTCAGATTTGGGATTTTTGTTATTTTATTTATTTGTTGTTGTTTTTAGACAGGATATCATTCTGCCACCCAGGCTGGAGTGCAGTAGCATGATCTCAGCTCACTGCAGCCTTGACTTTCCAGGCTCAATAGACCTTCCCACCTCAGCCTCCTGAGTTGCTGGGACTACAGGCACAAACCAGCATGCCTGGCTAATTTTATTTTTTTATTTTTTATTTTTTATTTTTGTAGAGATGAGGTTTCACCATATTGTCCAGGCTGGTCTTGTACTCCTGGGCTCAAGGGATCTGCCAGTCTCAGCCTCCCAAAGTGCTGGGTAAATTACAGGTGTGAGTCACCGTGCCCAGGCAGATTTTAGATTTTTAGATTAGAGATGCTCATCTGAGAAGTATATAATGCAATCTGAAAAGGTCCGAAATCCAACACACTTGTGGTCCCAAGGGATACCCAACCTGTATTTTCTTGCGTACCAAATTGAATGTTTCAATGAATAGCAACATCTTATATAATACGTTAGGGCCTAAAGTTGAAGAAGTAAACAAAAATGAGTCATGATTATTGTTACTCTGCTATTACACCTTACACAAACTCAGTTGTATTAAAGGACAAACCATAAACTTAGCTGATGACTATATAGAATCTATTGTGTCTTTTAATTCTAAAGGAGAGCAAAACATATTGCTACTTGGAAATAGAGTTTTTTGTTTGTGTTCATTTTTAGGTGACCCACAACACAACTCTGAATGGCAAAGATACACTTCATCACTGGAGTTGGGCCTCAGATATGCCCTTGGAGTGTGCCATTCATTTTGTGGAAATTAGATGCTACATTGACAGTCTTCATTTTTCTGGTCGCAAAGAGTGGAGTGACTGGAGCCCTGTGAAGAACATTTCTTGTAAGCTTATATTTAAAGAATTTTTGTTTCAAATGATTTAAATTAGTCTTACTTAAGAGTAAGATTTAGTTTAAGCTTTCAGTTCTCATAACCTCACTCAGCTGCATGAGGATTACCTGGGAGCATCTAAGCCCACCATCCCTGGAGATTTTGATCTAAAAGTCTGAGATAGGCTTCAGGAATCTGTATTTTGAAAGAACTTTCTGAGTGGTTGGATAAACATCCAGGTTTGAAAATCACTGTCATAGGAAGTGAAGAGCATTAAAAATTGTGTATAGATGATACTGAAATGAAATCTATTTTAAAAAAAAATAGTTCCCAATTTCTGGCTCACAGAGCAGATCCCTAGAGGCTGCATAGTTATTGCCAGGAACATGGGGATCTGCAAGCATAACAAAAACCATCCGTACATTAAGTAAAACTGATACATAGGGAGAATGTTGGCAGTTTGGATGGGGGGCCTGGAAAATTGTTGACCATAAAATGAAATCCTGAAAAGGCTGGTAATCATTGTAGAGAGAGATCTCTCTATGGAGAAAAGGATTAGAGGAAGGAAGGGGACTAGATGAAAGAAAATTGTTTTTTAGGATGTAGAGTACTTGGGCATATATTTAGGCCAATGGAAAGTAAGACATATGCCCTAAATACATTGAATAAAAGGAATGGAATTATTTAGTGATTTTTGGAGGGTGTGGATTGTTCGCATGTATATATAAACCCACGGAATTTCAACCCTTAGACTTCTTAGATATAAACCTATGACATTAAGTTTAGATATTGACCTGTAATCTGCTTCTGCTTTCTCACCATTATCCCTTCATAAGTAAATAAAACCACATACACTTTTTAAAAATTTCTTGTATATATCTTGCTCCTACAAAACCTGTGGAACACACCTTATCTTTGGACCATCCAAAGTACCTAACAGTTTGTAGTGTATATACTGGGCTATTTTAAAAGTCATCTTATGAAAAAAAAAGTCTTAAAATATAGAAAAGTTTATGTAAAAGACTTCTGTATAAAATGTTGATAATTCCTCTTTTTCTTTCTAGGGATGCCTGATTCTCAGACTAAGGTTTTTCCTCAAGATAAAGTGATACTTGTAGGCTCAGACATAACATTTTGTTGTATAAGTCAAGAAAAAGTGTTATCAGCACTGATTGGCCATACAAACTGCCCCTTGATCCATCTTGATGGGGAAAATGTTGCAATCAAGATTCATAATATTTCTGTTTCTGCAAGTAGTGGAACAAATGTGGTTTTTACAACCGAAGATAACATATTTGGAACTGTTATTTTTGCTGGATGTAAGTATATGATTTTAAAGAGAGAATTCATATTAGCCTGTTTTGGTCCTCCTTGAAACCCTTAATTCTTCTTCTGGAGTGGGAGGTGTGGGGAGTGATTCTGTTTCTTTCTCATTTCTTTGTTCTTTAATATAAAGGCTATATACAAAGGAGGCACTAGAATATTTGCTTGTTTTAAAATGAATTGCAAGCTTGTTTTGTACATAACCTGTATCTGTATAATTTGTTGGTTTTGTAATCAGATTTGAAACATCTAGCTTCTAATGTTTAGTTTAAATTCTTAGTTAACAACTTTGTTAAGTCAAGGATAGTATATAATATTTCTTAACCCTGCATTGTTTAGATATTATGTGAATTAATTTTCCAGTTAAAGTATACCTTTTTTAAAATATCTAAATTAAAGAAATTATAGCAATTTTACACAAAATATTTCAGTAGCATAACATATCTTCTCCAGCTTTTAACTATTAGGTTTGAGAAGAACAGGCTGGCAGGAGGACATGGGTGAGGGGAAATGTACTCTCCCACTGCGTTCTGTATATGATGTATGCTCTATCATTCAAGGTGTCTGTATTAACATGATCACCCCACTGTCTAAAATTCCATGGTATTTCCAGAAGTAGTTGTTTGTTGTGGGCTGCCCTGCCCATTTGGCTTGTGTTGAATGTCCACAGATAAACATTTAGAACTTTGAGGTCTCAATTTTAGAGTTTTTCTGCCTCCCTTCCTTGTAGCAACCGTAACGTTTTGGTGTCACTGACAGCTTTATCAGTGAGTCCCTTCCTCCCTGCATGCTGAATTAGAAGTCTGGGATTTTAGTCTATAGGTCATATGAATAAAGTGTGTAAGATAGATTAACTAGATTTTATGATATTTCTTTTGATTGCTTAGTGCTTTTTCTTTTTCTTTTTAATGATTCTCAGCTGTGGTCTAGATCAGCAGCTCTCTTGTTTACTTATACAGTACTTCTTGATGAATTTCATTCAGATACTGGTGTGTTCCCAAAGGAATAGCCAGGCTTAGGTGCTCATCTCACCTTGATGGCTGTAATCTGACTCTCTTTGTCTTCTCAGTAATGCATTAAGTGAAAGCAAGGTTACATTCAAATTTAAATCCTGGAAATCATATTTTCCTTCTTAATGGAATGTTAGGAAATTACGTGCAGCATTTTTCACAAATAGTCCTGGAGTCTAAGTTGAGATCCAGTGGTATATGTAGTGAAGTTGCTTCGTGTGCAATACCAAAAATGAGCTATTACTTAAAAGTATGAAAAAAGAAAACTTAAAAGTATGAAAAAAGAAAACTTAAAAGATGAGACTATGCACTGTTTCCATTTCTGTTATTTCAGACAGTGTTGTAATCTTTTATCATAGTGATAGAACAAGCTGATTTAATTTATAATTTAACCTTCATTTATAACGTTTGGAGGCTGAAATATTGTACAATATTTGTTGAGCAGCAGTAACATCTCCCTTCAGAGGGAACTTTTAGGAAATTTATAAGAACAGGTTATTTCGTGAGTTAGGTATCAGGATTCATTTATTTCCTTTTCTTTATGGATATCCTGTTAAGCCACCATTTACTGAAAATACTGAAAAGAAATTTAGAATCAGCTTATTAGTTTTTCCCTACATACACGTCTGTGTACACATACACCTACCCTGCTGGAATTTTGATTGGGATTACGTTAAATCCGTGGATCAATTTAGGAGAATTTTCATTCTTACAATATTTGCATCTTCCAAACTGTGAACATGGTATATCCCTACATTTACTTGGGTCTTCTTTAATTCATCTTAATATGAGGTTTTTATGTCTTTTGGTCTTTTGGTAAATATTTTCCTAGTGCTTGGTGTTTTCTGGTAATATTAAAAATGACTTTGTTTTTTAAATTGCATTTTCTATTGACTGGTACATAAAAATGTAGTTGATGTATACCTAGCTTTTAACCTAGCTTCAGTTGATTATTTTATAAGTCAATTTCTTTGAAAAGAAAATTAGTACATTTCAAATACTGTCCTCTCAAATTTTTCCCCTTCTGTCTGTCCTTCTATTTATCTCTTATTTGCTCTTGTTGTTTAGATTTTAATATTTCAACTTAATATCTGCCAAATCCTAAGATAACCAGCATTTTAAATATATTCCAAATTTTTGGTATGTGGTTTTAATAGAGTGACTGAATATTTGGCCTTAAGTTTAAAACAATTTTCAGAATAAATATGTCAGTGTTTGTTTACTTATCTAATTGTTAAACTCTCATATAAACACTCATTAATCCTCTTAATGTTACCTAAAATATCACTGAAGGATGTTTTCCTCATCTCTGGAGAAGGTATAAAATTTTCTAAGTTTTGCTTGATAAACTAAGTAGTATTTTTTTTTAATTCAAGTTTGTGAAAAAAACATTTTACAGAATTTTTAAACAAGCAGTTTTTTTTAAAAAGAACTTTTACCAAAAGTGAAAGATAGTTTGGATAAATATGACAGAGGAAATACCAGTTTCTATATGTGTATGGTTAAACATGATTACAGAAATATTTCTATAATAAACAGTGTCAGACTGCAGAATTTTCATTTATCACTTTTTTTTTTTTTTTTTGAGATGGAGTATCACTCTCTCGCACAGTCTGGGTTCACTGCAACCTCCACCTCCCAGGTTCAAGCAGTTCTCCTGCCTCAGCCTCCCAAGTAGCTGGGACTTCAGGCACCCCCTACCACACCCGGCTAATTTTTGTATTTTTAGTGGAGATGGGGTTTCACCATGTTTGCCAGGCTGGTCTCAAGCTCCTGACGTCAAGTGATCTGCCTGCCTCGGCCTCCCAGAGCTGGGATTACAGGCATGAGCCGCTGCACCCAGCTCGTTTATCACTTTGAAGGTCTCATCTTAAAAAAAAAAAAAAATTTAATTTTTCTAGTCCTGCTTTAAAGCCAAGGAGAACAGTTTTGATAAAGAGAAAAACAACGAAAGAGCTGCAGTCAGTTTGAATATGGAGACGCAGGATTTTACCAAGAGTTTTCTAAATGACAGTACTTACAATGTATTTTAGAACTCTGAAACATGTAGCATGACTTATTGATTTTCAGTATGTTTTGGTATTTCTTTTCAAATCACAGTATATTGATGATAGGTGATAATACTTTTTAACCTATAGATTTTTCTGACTTAACATATTAGACACAGGTTTCTTGGAGAGATTTGGTAGACTCTGAAATAGGATTAACGGGAAAAAGTGGGCATTGATCTTTGAAGTTTATAGGGAGTTTCCAAATGAGCTAAGAGTCATTTTTCAGTATATTTTAATCTGTCAATTCTAATGTAATATGAACTCTGACAAGACATTCCTGCATTGTTCAAAAGTAAAATGTAAATAGTAAATTATTTCATTTTTTAGGAAATTGTGGAAAGCATTAACATTTATAAAATATTATGTTTTCAGGGAAAATATATGTAATCATAAGTACCTAGATTTTTTTTCTTTTTTTTTGTCAGATCCACCAGATACTCCTCAACAACTGAATTGTGAGACACATGATTTAAAAGAAATTCTATGTAGTTGGAATCCAGGAAGGGCGACAGCATTGGTGGGCCCACGTGCTACAAGTTACACTTTACTTGAAAGGTAATGATAATTGGGAAAGGATGTCAGATAGCAAGGAGTACATTGGAGGTACATGTTAAATGACATAGGGAAGTGCACTAGGTCATTTATGTTGCAAGCAAGGTATAAAACCAAATATGCTGTATAAAATTACACTTATACGTACTGCAGTTCAGCCACATGTACACTCAATTTCATGTCTCCTCTTTTAAGAAGCTTAGAATGAAGAACACTTGAATATGAACAGAGACTGTTTCTGGGTAGTAAACTTACAGCTGATTATTTTCTTCTATTTTCTGTATCATGTACATTTTCTTCTCTGAGTATGTAATATGCCTCTAATTAGAAATTTAAACTTTTTATACAAATTAAGTATTACAAATTTGCCTATTTTTTCCTGCAATATTTATCTCTTGCCATTTTGAAATTTTTTTTTTTAATTAACAGTTTTTCAGGAAAATATGTTAGATTTAAAAGAGCTGAAGCACCTACAAATGGAAGCTATCAATTATTCTTTCAAATGCTTCCAAATCAAGAAATATATAATTTTACTTTGAATGCCCACAATCCTCTGGGTCGATCAGAATCAACAATTTTAGTTAATATAACTGAAAAAGGTAAGCTATAAATAAACTAATGTCTTAAAAATAACTTTAGAAGTGGTGAAATGCTTTGGTTAATGAAAAATACTTATGGAGATTACTTTTTGCTGATTATTTTCTTTATAGTTACTTAATTTCATATATTTATAAAAACTTTAAATGTATAATTTCAAGTTTTACTATTTTATTGAGTTTAAATACTTGAATTAGTAATTTACAAATAAACTGTAAGTAGCTGTTTCTGATAATTCTTGATTTCTGAAATATCTTCTGCCCAATTTTTAAAAACTTTTATTTTGAAGTAATTGTTGACTCACTGGTAGTTGCAATAATAAGAGCCTTGTGAACCCATCCTCTGGCTATCCTTAGTGGTGTCATCTTATATAATTCTAGTACAATATCAGAACCAGGGAATTGACACTCTTAAAACACTGTTAACTGGACTACTGACCTTGCTCAGTTTTTATGTGCATTCATTTGTACTTGTGTGTGTGTGTGTGTGTGTAGTTCTGTGCAATTTATATGTATAGATTCAGGTAACCACTACCACATGCAAGATACAGAACTGCCCTGTCGCTACAAAGGAGCTTGCTCGTGTTGCCCTTCCAGCATCCCCTGTGCCTTGACAACAATGAATCTATTCTTCATCTCTGTTGTTTTGTCATTTTGAGACTGTTACATAAGTGAAATCGTACAGTAGGCAGGTTGGCATTTTTTTTAAATACAAGCCATCCATGTTGTTGTATGTATTAATAGTTTGTCCCTTTTATTACTAACGATTTCTGCGTTTTTACCAATCGTATTAATACATAGCTCCAAATAAAAATAAAATGTGGTTGGTCTTTTTGGTATTCATTCCCACAGTCCATGTGCATTAATACTCCATGTCAGGCTTGCAACACACTGAACAACGGCCTAGACCTTCTCTTAGAGACTCAGGCAGGGGAGAAAGGGCCTAAACCAAAGGCATGTATCATACAGTCTCACAAGTGATTAGTAGATGATCCTGTTGCCTTATTTGTATAAGTCACTTTTATCAGTTATTCTTTCCTGTCATCTTTGTGATTTCTGGATTTTTCCTAGTGTCACCATGGCTACATTTTATCCTGGCATGGTAGTATTTGTATGTATTTGTCTGCCCTCTGCCATTTCAGCCTGACTTCGCTTGCGATTCTTTCCTGCCATTCAAGTGGGCATACACACTATCACCAACGTAATATGCAGTTTGCCTCGCTGTACCTTCATTATTGCCATCTCTGCCTAAAATGCTTTTCTGCATTTTTTTTTTTGGCCAGTTTTTGTCTGATTCTTCCTGCAAAGTTCATCTTAAGTTCCATCTTCACTGTAAGACTTACCCTACCGTGCTTACATGTACGAAGTAGTTAATATCTGTATCATGCATTTAGAACTTAGCATTTGTATTCTTATTATCTTTCTTTTTTTCTTTCTTTTTTTCTTTTTTTCTTTTTTTTTTTGGTCATTCCCCAAGTAAATTAGAAGTTCCTTAAAGGTAAATACTGTGATCTTACTACCTTTGAGTATTCCTGACACTAATTGAAGAGCTTTGAACATGATTGATTGTTTAAAAATGTTGGCAAGATGTCAGTAGTAGAAATTAGGTTTGTCGATTCCACAAATACTGGGTAGGATGTTGTTGGTTAGCACTAATGATGCCTCCTTGTTTTTTATGTTGTCGTATTAGAAGATAGCTTACCCCTGTAAATAAATGTTTAAAGTAATCTTTAATTATATTTGCAGTTTATCCCCATACTCCTACTTCATTCAAAGTGAAGGATATTAATTCAACAGCTGTTAAACTTTCTTGGCATTTACCAGGCAACTTTGCAAAGATTAATTTTTTATGTCAAATTGAAATTAAGAAATCTAATACAGTACAAGAACAGGTAAGATTCTCCTAAAGACTTCCTTTGTGATTATTTTGGATGAAACAGTTCTCAAAAAGAATTAAGCAAATTGATATGCTTAAGCTCTCAGATTGTTTATTATAGAGATTTACTAAGAACCAAGAAAGACATTAGTATCCATGTAATAACAGCATTGTATCATTTGAATAACAATTGTAAATTTGACTTTTATTCCTCAGAGTGTTCCCAGATGCAGTATAGTACCTGGCACATAGCTGATGCTCAGTAAATTTGTGAATGAATGAGTAGTTTTTGCTGTAACCTTTAGCATCATTAATGGATGAATTGGCACCAGACAGCAGAAGTGATTTTTTAAAACTGTGAAGTGTGGCAGTGGGAGCAAGTTGTAATTGGTACTTATAAGTCACAACATGACTTTTTAACACATTTTAAATATTTAGGTTGACTTTTATATTATACTATCTTGTAATTTGTGGTAAGTCTAAAATAAATGAGGTGTACTTAACTATTCATTTGGAAATTTACTGATGTCTAGAAAATCAGTCACAACTGTGAAATATAATCTGAAAAGCTTCTTTGTAATGTTTTGGGGAGCTCAGAGGCTTTTGTGAGACACGCAGATCTTCAAATTTGTTTAGAATTGTTTCGTTTTAACTGTATTTACTTAGTTTAAGGAAGTATTTGTTTCATATTTGCTACATGTTTAGCATCATACTAGAAGTTCTAAGTGTCATATTAACAAAGATGCACAAAAGGTAATGCCAGCCTCCAAGAAACTTCCAGATATCATCCAAATAATACATTTATTCCTCACAGTCATCTCAAATTACTAAATCATGTTAAGGTTTGTTGCATCACCATTAGCCATTTGACTGATTATCAAAATTATGTAATCCTTTAGATAATTTAATTGACCATTATTACTTAGAGCCAGTATTTGAATTAAAAAGACAACTCAATTTTTTATTACTATTGCAGGGCATAATTTCATTGGCTTGGCAGGTATATAAGAATTAAAATATTATAGTGGATAACTGCTTTGGGTGTTATATATACAAACTCATTGAGATTCTGTCGGTTTGTGTTACAAATGTGAAGGCTTTCTTACCAAAAGTGTATGTATGTGTATATATATTTATATATATTCTTCATGCACACAATATATACATACATACATATTTATTTGTTTTCTAATAGCGGAATGTCACAATCAAAGGAGTAGAAAATTCAAGTTATCTTGTTGCTCTGGACAAGTTAAATCCATACACTGTATATACTTTTCGGATTCGTTGTTCTACTGAAACTTTCTGGAAATGGAGCAAATGGAGCAATAAAAAACAACATTTAACCACAGAAGCCAGTAAGTTAACTAAGTGATATATGGCTAATAATTACTGTGTATCCTGAAGTTTTTCAGCTTCTTTAAAAAGAAAAAGTTGGCCGGGCACAGTGGGTCATGCCTGTAATCCCAGCACTTTGGAAGGCCGAGGAGGGTGGATCACCTGAGGTGGGGAGTTCGAGACCAGCCTGACCAATATGGAGAAACCCTGCCTCTACTAAAAATACAAAATTAGCTGGGTATGGTGGTACATGCCGGTAACCCCAACTACTCGGGAGGCTGATGCTGCAGTGAATCGCTTGAACCTGGGAGGCAGAGGTTGCGGTGAGCCGAGATCATGCCATTGCACCCAGCCTGGGCAATAAGAGCAAAACTCTGTCTCAAAATTAAAAACAAAAAAAAATGTTATCAGAGTCCTTAAAAGTGGGGGATGGTTAGATAAATTGTGTAGTACCTGCTAATAAAATATCACAGATATTTTAAATGATAGTTTTTGAAGTTTTGTCATAGTATAGAAAAATGATTGGCATAAATTATGTGAAAGGACAGGGCTCCTGTATGATTGCCACCGTATTACCATATTACAATAATGCATAGAATGATTTTTCTCCTATTCTTTTCTCTTCTGCTTGGAATTTTAATTAGCTTTTAACTCACTGGCATTTAAAAAAAATTACTAAAAAAGAGAATTTGTTAGTTTTTATTTATGACCTAGACCTGAGAAATGATGTGGCTAAAAGGTCTTGAATTTCAGTTTCTATAGTATACCTAGGTCAAGATAGTTATAAAATCAGGTAACTGGTTTTCTAAATATGATAATTTCCAAAGACAGAATGATATTCTATCCTTGAAAAACCAGATGTTAGGTGTAAAAAAAAAACTTAGAAATAGGTTTAATTTTTTATTCTTTTGAGACAGAGTCTCAGCCTGTCGCCAGGCTGAAGTGCAATGGCACGATCTCGGCTCACTGCAACCTCCGCCTCCCGGGTTCAAGCGATTCTCCTGCCTCGGCCTCCCGAGTAGCTGGGATTACAGGTGCCCGCCACCACGCCTGGCTAATTTTTGTATTTCTACTAGAGATGGGGTTTCACCATGTTGGTCAGGCTGGTCTCGAACTCCTGACCTTGTGATGTGCTCGCCTTGGCCTCCCAAAGTGCTGGGATTACAGGCATGAGCCACTGTGCCCGGCCGAAATAGGTTTTTTTAGGAATCATTTAACAAAAGATAGCAAGAGCTTTATTTATATTATGTGGTATAGGAGATGTAATACTTCCTCCAAAAAAATTAAGAAATAGCAAAACAAATAAATGATAGATGTTGATGTAGATTTTTGCCTCTCCACATGAAGAGATGTGAAGAATAGACAGGGCGCTTTGTGATATATGTAAGAATTACTTGTATCATCAAAAGTGAAAGCTATGCATGAGTACAGAGAGGGAAGATATAAGTTATAATTACTTGTATCATCAAAAGTGAAAGCTATGCATGAGTACAGAGAGGGAAGATATAAGTTATCTATTGCTGTGCAACAAATTACCCTAAAATTCAGTGGCTTAACACAGCAGATATTTATTATCTTACCATTTCTATGGGTCAGAAATCCAGGAGCAGTTTAGCTGGATATCTCTGACTTGGAGTCTTTCATGAGGCTGCAGTCAGGAGTGTGGGTGGGAACTGGAGGCTTGACTGGGGCTAGAGGATCCACTTTCAAGATGGTTCACTCATGTGACTAAAGGCTGGAGGCCTCAGTTCCTCACCTTGTGGGCCTCTCTCTAGGCCTGCTTAAGTGTGCTCATGGCAGCCAGTTCCTCCCACAGCTGGTGACTGAACAGTGTCTTTTATGATCTAAGATCAGAAGTAACATACCATTATGTCTGCTGTACACTGTTAGTCACACAGGCCAACCCTAATGCAGTGTGGGAGGGCACCACACACATGGGGATTATTGGTCATTTTGGAGACTAGCCACAATAGGAGTTTTTGCCTTCAGTTAATGAACTGTTGTCTCCAGGAGGAAACATCTTATTTGCACCTCATTAAGATGAAGGCATCAATTTACTCAACAAATATTTACTGAGTATGCATTACAGATTAAGCATGTGTAATCTGAAAATCTGAAATGCTCCAAGATCCAAAACTTTTTGAGCACCGCCAGGATACCACAAATGGAAAATTCCACACTCTAGTACTTAACACAAATCTGTTCCATGCACAGAATTATTTAAAATATTGTCTGAAATTACCTTCAGGCTGTGTGTATAAGGTGTATATGAAACATAAATGAATTTTATGTGTTCTTGGATCCCATCCTCCAAGATATCTCATTATATGTATGCAGATATTCTATAATTAGAAAAAATCCAAAATCTGAAACACTTTTGCTCCCAAGCATTTCGGATAAGGGACACTCAACCTGTATGTGTCTGGAATTGTTCTAGTTAGCAGGGATATAGCAGCAGATAAAACAGAGATCTCTGCCTGTGGAGTTTGTAGGATCCAGAACTAGAAATAAATTTATATATATACACATCTATATGTATATATGTACACACACACAAAGACATAGACACATCAGTTTATCAGGTGGTGACAGATGCCACAGAGGAGAGGAAAGGATAGGAATAAAGGCTGAGGGATAAGAGGGGGTGGCGGTGAAAGGAATTGCAGTTTTAAATAGGGTAGTTAAAACAGACCTCACTAATAAGGTAATACTCAAGCTGAGTTATAAAGATGAGGAGGCATGCCATGTTGTTTTATCTAGGAGAAGAGAGTTGTAGGCAGAGGAATAGAGGACACAGAAGATGCAGAGCCTGAGGCAGATGTCTTTGGCATATCTAAGGGACAGCCAGGAAGCCAGTATGTGGCCAAGTGAGGGAGTGGGAGGATGTGAGACAGAGGGGAACCCAGGGAACCAGTACAGCCAGCCTGCAGGTAGATTTTCACCCATTTGAAGGGGCCGTGTGTTTTGCAAAAGTTGTTGAGAGCTTAGATTTTCCATTGCTCTGTTTTCTAAGTGGAAGCCACTGAACTGCTTCACATTTTATTGAGAATTTCAAATACCCTAGAAAAAAAATGCCAAGCACCATAATATAGTATGTGTCTTCAGATATTAACTTTAAAATCTCCTTTTTAGTTCCTTCAAAGGGGCCTGACACTTGGAGAGAGTGGAGTTCTGATGGAAAAAATTTAATAATCTATTGGAAGGTAAATATCTAATTTTTCCATGAACATTTACATTACTTTGCTAAACCGCTTAACTTACATATGGTACTTGGGTCATCAAGGAGCTGAAACTTCCCAGACTGGCTTTTGTGCAATATTGGTGAGAATTTAACCTGGTTCCTAAACCACCCAAATTCCTCATCACTCCTAACTCCCCACAGTCATTTGAGGATCTTCTCTGTCAGATCTGAGCCTTCTCGAGTTTGATCTTATAAGGCCTGTAAAGGACCTGAAGATTTCATGAATTCCATCTCCTTCACTTCAGTTGAAATCTATAGGTTAGAATCCTGTTTGTTACATTTTTCTTCTATGAATGGGAAACTAAATTTTTATATATTTCATGTATTTTATATATTTCCCTTCAATAAATTGCATTATGACATGCCAGTTTTAAAGTTTTGTATGATTTTGTAAAATATTTAGATGAAATATGAATTGTATATTTTACTAATTTTTCTCTGCTGGAACATTTTTTGTTGCTATATTTTTAAGTATTTTATGAATATCAAAAACATGAACAGTTGTTTTCTATATTAGATTTTACATGAGCAGTCATAATAGGATTCCTTTAAATAGTGAATTTTGTTATGGAATGTAAAACATAATTTTATTTAAAAAAACTTTTGGCATCGATACAGCTTTGAGTAAAGTGAAGTGTACAGGCAGGTTCGTTGTGAGTTCTATTGCTTTGAGATTGTATTTGACTGTTACATCCACTCTTGATTAGAAAATCCCCCGGCTACTCTCAGTTGCCTGTCAGATTTCATGATAATATAGCAACGATTATACAATTTACTTCAATACAGAGAAAGTTTGGAATATTGTTCAAACTAGATGAAGACTTAAGTAAAAACTAAAAATATTGAAAGGATTTAGATTCTAACATCATTACCTATGCTGATGGTGCTGCCATTTGCCAAGTCAGAGTGTGTTCGGGTAGAAAATTATGTTGTTTTGGTCATAGTGAGTTTTCCAAAGGTATGCCACTGGGATATCATGAGTAGAGTTCAGTAGGTAGTTTGATCTATGTAAGGCTCTGGACCTTAAGGGAGAGGTTGGCACTGAAAACAGGTTTGAGTAGCATATAAATGGGATCACTTGGAGATGCAAGGTGAAAAGTGGGCCAGGGCTGGAGCCCAGGTGACAGCAGCATGCATAGAAGCAGCAGAGGAGGAGGAACCAGCAGAGGAGATGGGGAAGGTTTAGAGGGGCAGGAAAAGCGAAGAAAATAGAATTAGAGAAACTGGGGGAGGAGGACATTTCAAACAGTGTGTGGTCTGGAGTATCCCAAGAAGCCCGTAAGTCTTAGGACTAAAGCCTGCCCCTTAGAGCAGGCCATTTGGAGCATCACCAGAGACCTCTCTGCTGGAGTGGAGTTTTTAGCAGTATTACATCATCTTCAGTCTTGACCAGAGAGCCCCATACATTGGTGTATAAATTAAGGCAGTTGCTGTGAAAAGCAGTTCAGTAGAAATGAAGAGGTTTGAATGTTCATCTTTTTATCCAGTAAGTTCACTTTTAGAAATTCATATTAAATTCTATGAAAAAGAAAAAAAATATGGCACAAAAAAATTCACCGAAATATTTGTTTTAGTATTGTGAAAAATTAGGAACAACTTAAATTTCATTTACTTAAGGGACATTCAAGTACACTAGTAAAAGTGCTACATGAGATATAAAACCATGAAAATGTATATAACTGTATTATGGACAAGTGTACATTATGGAAAAGTAAAAAGTAAGATGGTGTAATGTAATTAAAACAATGTTAATAGAAGATCTATACCTAGAAAAAGAACTTGAAAGAAATATCAAAATGAAAGAATACTTAAGAGGTGGGAATATGGGAGATTTTTACTAGTTTCAACTCCTATATATTTTCCAGATTTTCTGTAGTGGGCATATAATACTTTAAAATGAGAAAACAAATGTTTAGAAAAAAACCCATGATGCTATAGTTTTTTTAAATGTTTTGTTTGTTACTAAGTAGAGCAGTGCTTCTGGATAGTTTTAAAAGTTTTGCTCCGGAAAAATGTGGAGATAAATATTGTTTTTTATTCACTTAATTTTTAAATTTTTGTGTACTCTTACTGCTTATAGCAAGTATAGTTTTTCTTCAGTGTCTCTTTCCTGATTTACCCAGGTCTCAGTGGATTTTGAATCTGTGTTTCACACTGTTGAGAGCTTCTTTGTTGTTGTTGTTGTTATTGAGATGGAGTCTCGCTCTGTCAGCCAGTGTGGAGTGCAGTGGCGCGATCTCAGCTCCCTGCAACCTCCACCTCCCAGGTTCAAGTGACTCTCCTGCCTCAGCCTCCTGAGGCGCCACCGTGCCTGGCTAGTTTTTGTATTTTTAGTAGAGACAGGGTTTCATCATGTTTGTCAGGCTGGTCTCGAACTCCTGACCTCATGATCCACCCGCCTTGGCCTCCCAAAGTGCTGGGATTACAGGCGTGAGCCACCGCACTCGGCCAGCTTCATCTTTTCTGATATTACCTTGTAACTAGTTGTTTTTTGTTTTTGAGATGGAGTCTTACTCTGTTGCCCAGACTAGAATACAGTGGCACGATCTTGGCTCACTGCAACCTCCACCTCCTGGGTTCAAGTGATTGTCCTGCCTCAGCCTCTTAAGTAGCTGGGATTACAGGCGCTCACCACCACACCTGGCTAGTTTTAGTACTTTTGGGAGAGACAGGGTTTCACCATGTTGGCCAGGCTGGTCTCGAGCTCCTGACTTCAAGTGATCCACCTGCCTTGGCCTAAGTGCTGGAATTACAGGTGTGAGTCACCACGCCTGGCCAACCTTGTTATTGTTAATATACCATCCAGTTTAAACCCAATTACCTTGCCTAGTCATAGTCACCTTTTGCAGGTTTTTGTAACAATTTGTCTGTTTTTCATAGCCTTTACCCATTAATGAAGCTAATGGAAAAATACTTTCCTACAATGTGTCATGTTCATCAGATGAGGAAACACAGTCCCTTTCTGAAATCCCTGATCCTCAGCACAAAGCAGAGATACAGCTTGATAAGAATGACTACATCATCAGCGTGGTGGCTAAAAATTCTGTGGGCTCGTCACCACCTTCCAAAATAGCGAGTATGGAAATTCCAAATGGTGAGTGCTTGAGATGGTGTGGTATATAAGAACAGGAGACTAAAGTAAGGAATGTCTGATGTTACTTGCTCTTTTGTCATGTCAGCATTCTTCTCGTATACCTTGTTGCTGCTGACATAGAAGGCAGAATGAGCAGATTGATGTCTACAGTTCATTGAGAGAGAAGTAATTAGTATTGACTTGAAGCATGTGCACTGAGGGATACAATCATTACTGTACTCAGTAACTATAGTGGATAATATTGGAGAGGTACAGTGGTGGATAGTATTTTTAGGAAGAAATATTTTAACAGTTTATTCAAATGACATTCAGGCACTTCTCCAAGACACTTCCCCAAGACTAGGAAAGTTTATTTTAGGTCAGCTAGACTGTTTTGCAAATTGTTGGGCAGGAGAAAAAAGCACTTATTTTAATTAGCACCTTTTTTGGTAAGAAATTCCTTATTAATAGAAATTATGGATTAAAAAAAGTCTTCTTAAGGTATAAATTAGATCTTCAGTATAGGCTTTAGAAAAACAACTGTGGTGTAATTCTTAAAATTTAGCACCTTTCTTTAAATTTTATAGATATCCAGTGATTAATACGTTCTTCCCAGCTTCTATCTCTTGACAACTTTGAGAGTTACGAGCCTTAAACGGCCACGTCCGCCTCTTCTTCCACTGATCTCTGTGCCCCAGTCATTTTCTGCCTACCCACCTTTCTGTCTTGCCTGCTATGGGAGCGCCTTTCTATAACCACAGCTTCTAGAGGAAGAGAAATTGGTCCAGTTAGGGTCCTCTAAGTAGCTTTCCAACTCCAGTTTGAGGCTGTTTCTTATTGCTTGTTACTTGACTGCTTCTTTGTTCTCTTTGAGTCAGTCATAGGAGAATTTGGAGGAAGGAAGGGGGAAAACAAAGTGCATTTCAGAGATACAGAGCCTAGGCAGCAGTGCTGCTGGAGATGCCCAGGGGTTGTGGCAGATGCTGGGAGGTGGGGCTTAGAATAATGGCTTCTTCATTTTGGCCTGGCAAAAATAACAAAATAAAAAATGAAGGAGACAGAGATGTGAACATCCATAAGAAGATAACATACTGATTTAGGTTATGTATTTCGTTGCTCTCACAATTCTAGGCAATAGCTATGTTATCTTTTTATTCAGGAAGCATAATCCTACCTTTTCTGTGTATCCCTTAGAAAATGGTAATTTACAAAACTAGCAATTCTGTCATCAGCTTTCAGACACTTTCTGAAGCCCCAGAACAAATCTTCATTTCTTGAGGATATCGCGACTGGAGGGAGGCTCTGCAGCCTCAACTCAGGTTTACACTGTGGCTTTTTAATCACGTTGAGCAAAAAAAGCTGTTATGTCTGAAGTGTTCTATATTCTAAGCCAAATTGTTGTCTTGCATTTAGTAGTAGTTGCTTTGTGAATGCACATTTTGTTCAAAAAACCTTTTCATGTTTGTTTTTACTGAACCCTTAAATATAAATCAGTTATAGCTATTACTTAGTTTCTCCTGTTACAGTGGGAAATGTCTGTGTTGGTTTTACTGAACCCTTTTTGTAGCCTGTGGGTGATTAAATACTCTGCCGTGGCTGCATCCCGTCAAGGGCCACTCACCTACAGTTTGCAGCCTCCTGAGCATCTGGCTCCTGAGACAATTACTTGTCTAAACCTTTGTTCTTAGAAATAACCAAAAACCTTTCTATGTTTGTTTTTACTGAACCATTAAATACAAATCAGTTATAAAAACTACTACTTTTCTCCTGTCACAGTGGGAAATTTCCTTCTCCCTTTTGACCACACTGCCCTATCTCCCACCCCAATTCTTCTCCCCAAGCCTGGGGTTCCACTTCTTACCTAGGCCAAGATCTGGCAAGATAGGGAAAGGAAACCTTGCCAGGGCCTCCACTCCTGTGTCTGCCCTCAGCCTTTGCCCCTTGCCCTTGGTATCTCCTAGGACGCTGTGCAGGCTTCTCCTTCTCAGTGCCCACGTCAGCCATCCCACCTCATAGCCTCTGGGTGTCTCCACAGCTTTCTCCCTTGCCCCCACCCCGCCCCTGGTCAGCCAGACAACCGCTTCAGCCCACCTCTGGGGCCACAGTCTTCCTTGAAAGAAAGAAAGGGGGCTAGTTCGTCTACTGTTTCCACAAGTTCATTGAGTGCCTACTCTGCACACTGTGCTGGGCCCAGCCTGTTCTCTGCACACATTCCTGGTGGGTGATGAGAGGAGGGCTTCAGACTGTCCACTGTCCACTCCCCAGTCTCCCATCCCAGCCAGTGCCCTTAGCTGCATCCTTCCTGGGCCTTGATCTTGATGTCTTAGCCCCAATATGTTATTACCTGATCCTAGGTGCTTTTAAAAAATCACTTTCTTTCAGCTGCTATGTTAATCTATATATACAGGTAAGTGCTACAGTTGTTACAATAAAAATAACAGAGCAACACTTCTAATCTTTGCTGAAAGTTTATCTAGTTTGAGTACTATTTTATAATTTCTTCACAGTGAAGTGATTTTTCTAACTCACATCCATTTTTATGAGGTTTGCCTTATATTATTGTTTTTAATGCCAGTAAAATATCCTCCTTTCTTATTGAAGATGATCTCAAAATAGAGCAAGTTGTTGGGATGGGAAAGGGCATTCTCCTCACCTGGCATTACGACCCCAACATGACTTGTGACTACGTCATTAAGTGGTGTAACTCGTCTCGGTCGGAACCATGCCTTATGGACTGGAGAAAAGTCCCCTCAAACAGCACTGAAACTGTAATCGAATCTGGTAAGCTGAATTAGTATCTCTTAATTAAGTTCTACAAAATATTTTTAAAAGGCAACACGTGGGACTAGGCGCAGTGAAGTGACTCTCTTTCCTGCTGGGTGGGTGTGAATAGGTTTGATTTTCCTGGGAGTGGGGGGCAGTTGTGGCAGCATGTGGAAGGATCCAAACCCTTTGATCTGGTAATTACTCGTCTAGAAATTTACTCTTAGAAATAATCAGAGAACAACACAGATTTAATCTAAGAATGTTCATGGCAATATTATTGATAATCGTGAAAAATTAAAAACCCAAATAGCAAATAAGGGAATGAGTAAATGATGGTACACCTGTAAAATGGAATGTTAAGTAACATTAAAAGTTATGTGGAAAATTTAGCAACATGAATAAATAAATGTTCATGAAAAAAGACGACTACAGAACGGTAACCTGGTCTCACAGAAGGGCCTTCGCCTTGTTTGCCCAGGGCCCAGGTTACCGAGGTTAGGGAGAGACTGAGCAGAAAGGCCGTGAACCCCTCACCACTTTCCCTGATGCAGGGCAAGGGGGCATCAGCAGGACTGACCACAGTGTGGGTGGGAGGCCTTGTGTTCCATGAGCCTAATGCTCAGGAGCTTGTGAGCTGCAGTTGAGTGGCCCTCAATGGGATGCAGCCTGAGAAGTTTAGCCCCAGAGCAGTATTTAATAACCTACAGGCTAATCCAGCCTTGTCCTTAGGCATTAGAGCCCTCTCTCCAATATCATCTTTTTTTCCTGGCAGGATGGGAGTGTATCCTGCCTGTGCCCATGGGATTTCTGGACCCTGTAGCCTGTCAGTAGTGATGCTTCTTGATCATTCCCGTCTCCTGCCTCCCTTGCATGTTAGGGAAGTGCAGAAGAGCAAGCAGCCTACTCCTTACCTCTCTCTCAGGGAACACTTTCTACTTGCTTACTGTTTCTCTGTCAAATGATGAGGATGGGTCCCATTCATTGGATTATCACATATGAGTTCAGATTATTTTCCAGTTCTACTTGGAATACAGCCAAACTCCTCCACATATATAATTGGCTGAAGTGGTAATGATCTTCCTGAGTTGTTCCCTTTATCCTTTCTTACAGTGCACTTCCCTTTTCAAGGACCCAGGCACTTGCTACCCTTCTCTTTCCTGCACCTTCCCTTGCATCCCCTCCCATGGAGCTGAATGAGCCTTACACGGTTCCAGTCTGTCATTTCTCACCTGGGCTTTTAGAATAATCAGGATGAACTGGGGAAGGCTGGAGTGGATATAAATGGAGTATCTACCCATTTAAGTTTTAGCTGAGACTTGCAGGATATGGAGAAGCTGCCCGGCGATGATTGTGGGAGGAGAACTTTCTGTGCCAACTCAATTGAACAAAGACACAAAGTTTGAGAAAACAAAAACTCAGAGAAGTTAGGTGACTTTTCCAAGGTCACAAAATTATTATGTGATAGAACCCGGGTTCAAATTCAAAGTTATTCAAAGCTTCAAGAGGCTGGGAATATTGTCTTTTATTTACTGCTGAGCTTCTGGAACAGCAAGTGACACATAGTAGGCACACCTTTTATTCCTCCCTCATCCCCTTGCCTACTCATTAAGCTGTCTGCTCTCTTTTTTGACCTTCGCACATTTCTAATGCTCTAACCTTCTCAGGCTCTTTTTTTTAAAGTGTCAGAGCCCTATAAAATATTAATAAATTTAATATAAAAAGAGGTACAGATTTACAGATGTACATGCAGTATAAAATCATAACCTCAAGCATACCTTTCTCCAAAGAAAAATGTTACAAAACTAAACACAATTGGCTGAGCTTGAGTTGCATTAATACGTATTTAGGACGTGCCAGCACATAGCAAACGTTTAAGGAAAATCATTGCAAGAAGAAAAGTTAAAAGTTTTAGACAAGTTGATTCAGTTTTTCTTGGGTTGTGTGATTTTAGAAATTGACTACTGTCTCACATTGGAGCCTGCAGGCCACTGGTGTGTTATGGGCACTTGATTGGAGAACTAATGCTTTAACCACACCAGAATAATTGCATTCTGCAAATTAAATGCAATGCCATATGCCGCCAATCCACCTCCGCAACCCCGGCATTTTCTTCTTTCTCAACCACCACTGATGACCATCTCAGTGCCCTTCAAGGCCTTATTCAGATGGCCCTTATGGTAGCTATTTCTGATCTTTTTAGACTCATTTGGCCCCTCACTTACGATTCCGTGGAATCTGATACATACCTCTAATATAACACACTGTTATGGTCACCCTTGTTCATCTGTCTTCCCCACCACTCCGCAAGTGTCTGCATGCTTGACATTTTGTTTTGTGCATGTCTGTGTTGCTCACATTGCACACATTGCATTGTATTCAGGAGGCATTTAAAAGGAGCCTTTTGAGTTTAAGTTAAGGTACTTCAATAGGAAGTACCTCTGTGTCCTGTGGAGTTAATTCAAAGCACCTCTATATCTTGTAGAGTTAACTCACCCAAAGACACTTAATGGTGATGCTATAAAGAGGAACAAACTCTAAGACCCAGTTCCTTTAACAGTGAAGCTTCAAGGCAGAGTGCAACTTTTAATTCTGCTTCTTGGAACGAGAGGAGAGAGCAGTGGGTTTGTTTTTTCCAACTCAGAAATAACACTATGTAGGGAAGGGATTTATAGAAGCATAATGTAGACCTGGAATGAATGGCTTAGTGAACTGACCCAGGAAGTTGATTTAGACTTACATTTTGTTCCTTAAAATCCAGCAGTTGCCAGCACTTTGGGAAGCCAAGGTGGGTGGATCACGAGGTCAGGAGTTCAAGACCAGCCTGGCCAAGATGGTGAAACCCCGTCTCTACTAAAAATACAAAAATTAGCCAGATGCAGTGGCAGGCACCTGTAATCCCAGCTACTCGGGAGGCTGAGGCAGGAGAATCACTTGAACCCGGGAGGCGAAAGTTGCAGTGAGCTAAGATTGCAGCACTGCACTCCAGCCTGGGCGACAGAGCGAGACTCTGTCTCAAAAAAAAAAAAAAAAAAAAAAAAAAAAAAATCAAGCAGTGATGTTTCTTCCTGGAAAAAGGAACAAAATGTAACCCTTAATCATCGTTGTTCTCTCCAAGGCAATCCCATCTTATATTACTAAACTTTTTGTTAATAGAAGTAAATACAATTTTTGTTTAGTCAGTTTTCATTCTGAATACTAATCTTTAAAATATGTATTTTTAAATAAAACATCTTTAAAATTAGCTTTGGAAATTTTAGAGTATGTTATAAATTTGATATTTCTAAAATAGATATTCATAGTAATTTATTTATGAAAGTTTGCTGATGTGTTCATCCTATAGATCAGTTTCGACCAGGTGTAAGATATAATTTTTTCCTGTATGGGTGCAGAAATCAAGGATATCAATTATTACGCTCCATGATTGGATATATAGAAGAATTGGGTAAGTTAAATGGGTACTTATTTTTAAGAGTTCAGAGTAACATGAGAAATTATAAATTGGCAACAATAGTATGATTGAATTCTAAAAATAAGATGTTTAGTTCAAGGAAGGAAAAATAATTTGATAAAAAGTATTTGATTCTACTTTTTTCTCCTCCTTTTCCTTTTCCTTTTTTTTTTTTTTTTTTTTTGAGAGAACGTCTTACTCTGTCACCCAGGCTAGAGTGCAGTGGTGGCAAGATCATGGCTCACTTCAGTCTCAACCTCCTGGGCTCAGGTGATCCTCCCACCTCAGCCTCCTGGGTAGCTGGGACTACAGGTGCATGCCACCATGCTCAGCTAATTTGTGTGTGTATGTGTGGAGATGAAGTTTCACTATGTTGCCCAGGCTGATCTCAAATTCCTGGGCTCAAACGATCCTCCCACCTCAGCCACCTAAAGTGCTGGGATTACAGGCATCAGCCACTGCACTGGGCCTGCTTACTCTGAAATCATTTGTTGAATGTTTATATTTCACAATTTTGCTCTTGTCCTCAAGAAAATTAAATCTGAACTTGATGTCAAAAATATGTAATTAGTACTTTTACAAGTTTAAAAAACTGTTAAAACTTCTTCAGGACTATCAGTAAAGATGGGAAATACAAATAAAGTCTATCTGAATAGCCTCAGAAAGATTTTGCATAGATTGCTTCCCTAGATACATATTTTGTCTGAAAGTGATATTGTAAGTTCTACCTTTGTTCCTAAAAATATTTTTGTCTATGGTTATTAGTATGTAAGCTTCACAAAAAAAGCATTTGTGATTATCTCTCTCCAAGTTTATGATTAAATAAAGTTTTAATTCCAAGTTGAATTATTTTTGAGGCTAGAAAGCTCAGGAAACATTACTGTATTACTCTGTATTCGTACACTCCCCTTTAGCAATTGACTTTCCTTTCACAGCTCCCACTGTTGCACCAAATTTTACTGTTGAGGATACTTCTGCAGATTCGATATTAGTAAAATGGGAAGACATTCCTGTGGAAGAACTTAGAGGCTTTTTAAGAGGATATTTGTTTTACTTTGGAAAAGGAGAAAGAGACACATCAAAGATGAGGGTTTTAGAATCAGGTAAGTAAACTGATAGCACGAGGATAGTGTTTCTTACAAGTTTCTCTTTAACCACAACAGAAAAAAAAAGGAAAAGAAAGTCCTGCTCAGTAGTTTAGTACTGGTTTTCAAAACTATCTGAAAGATAGAGAAATGAAAAGGCAGTAATTCTATGAATATAAGAGTCTTAAGATTTTAATATGCAATAATTGACATGCATAGTCTTTCAGAAATCATTTAAATCATTTATTCTGAAGCCTTTGATTATAAGCCTCATAGGACAGAAACCATCTCTTATTAGATCCTTACATAATCCATAACAAGGCATCTCATGAAGTTTACTGCCAAAAAGAAATCTTGTACTTATAACAGTGGAGGAGAAAAACTCAGGAATCCAAAGAGTTAGCTTCAGATCCTCAGTTGTAATTGGACAAAAACCATTGGCCTATTAGCATTTTACTTAGCCGTGTCCTTGATAAGCTGGAAAACTTAATGACTTGATTGGGGATTTATTAAAAAGTACAGACAATCCTTGGAAATTGGCAAGTGTACATCCAAAGACTTTAGAGAATTCTCAGATTTACAAATACAAAATTGTACAGATTTCTGGCTTTTCCTTTCATTATATTTCTGCAGAGAATCAGATGTTTCCTGTAGCTGCATAACACAAGCATATCATCTTTTCAGTTTGAGAGCTTTCATTTCCCTGGTTGGCCTCTCCTCAGAAAGAAATCATTTTAATTATTTAATGCCTGTCTGAGAAATAGAGAACTCCGCCACGGCATGGCGGTGCTGGCCGGGCACTGTCTCAGCCACTCCCCAGAGCAGCTGCAGGAAGTGTGTGCCTCCCCTTCCGTCCCCGGGTTCTGCATTGCCTGAACCTTCATGGTTGCTGGTGAATGAGGGACATCCTAAATATCAAATTCCACAAACATCCCCAGTCTAGTGTGACTTGCCTCACATGCTTGGAAATTTTACACTTGAAACAGTTAAAATTCTAGCATCTAGATTTCCAGTAAGACATGGTAGATTGATCACTAAAGTTAGCATAAAGAAGGGGAAAAAATCCCAAACTCTAATAAAGCCACAAGGAGAGAACAGAAGAGGCAAAACAACCCCAAAAAAGAAGATTCAGAAATTTGTGGGTGGAAGTGGGGCAAATGACTTAAATGAGTGGAGGATTGTGAAATCTATGTGGGCAGTCAGGCATTGTCGAGAAAGAACTTCTCCAGTACCTGCCAGACCAGGCCTTGGAGGCCAAGTGGTGAGGATCAATCTGGTCTGAATGGAGGGATCAATTGAAGAAAGTTCCTTAGAACTGAAGGGTCTAACTACAAGCAGATCCACTTCTCTGCAGTTTCACTTTCCATGGTTTCACTTTCTACCATTTCAGTTACCCCTGGCAAAACGCAGTCTGAAAATAGATGAGTTCAGTACAATAAGATACTTTAAGAAAGAGAGAGACCATATTTACATAATTTTTATTACAGTATATTGTTACAGTTATTCTCTGAGGAAAACGGAGGACTACTGTATATAGAGTGAAAGAATTCATTAAACACACAGCAAAATAAATAGAAAAAAGATCTATGCCAAGGTATGTCATTATGAATTTTCCGAGCAGCTAACGTGTAAAGAAATGATCAGAGACAAGCAGGTCATGTGCAAGGAATCAGGAATAATAATGGCAACAGACAGCCCAGCAATACTCCAGATACTAGAAGGTACCACAGAAGTCTCTTCAAAATACAGAATGAAAATTATTTTCAGTCTAAAATTCGATACTCCACCAGTCTGTCAACCAAAGTGAGATTAAAATGCAGACATTTTGCACATGCAAGGCTGCAAATATTTACTTCCCCCATGTTGCTTTTCTCAAGAAGCTACTAGAAGAGTGCATCCTAATGAGGAAATGAAGTGAGGCCAACCCAGGAAGCCACAGGGGAGAGAGCAGGGAGCTCTAGGAGAGCCGCAGCCCAGAAGGCATCCAGTCTAGTGCAGGAGGCAGGGGATGGGTGGAGGGGAGAGCAGAGAAGATGTGGAGCTGGGATTTTGTTGTGTTTGACCACATGGAAAATCTTACTGAGTGTACATTGGAGGATATGGGAAGAATTACTGATTGGTATATAGAAAATCAAGCAAATGAGGGAAAAAGCAGTTATAACAATGGGAAAACAAGAAAGGAAACATTATCACACCAAGCAGTTTGTCTTAGCATTAACTCATATTTATATAATCATAGTAATCCAAACTGAATTCATCAAATGTTCTGATGTTTCTATATGAATGATGTGGTGGGGGAAAGGGTGATGGTAGTGTAAAAGAGCTCTATCTTTATCTGCCCTTATAAAGTATGTGTAGATAAGGTCTAATAGTTAAAAGTCACATCTCTCTAAGTTTGCTACTTTGGAATATGGAGGTAAATACCCAAAGAAACTGATTACATGACTTTTACAGTGGTTGTAGGGGGCGAGAGGAGGAGCTGGTAGAGAACTGTCACTTTTTGTTATTAACCATTTAGTACTAGTTAATTTTTTAACCTATTGTCCTGCATTATTCTGGTTAAATTTTTAAAAATAAAAGAGTAGTTCAAATGATTCCTCACTCTTCCTTTTGAAGTTATAACTCAAAGGATTTCTCACTAGTCTCATTTGAGAGTTCCCATCACACTGATCCTTTTTCTAAGTGGTTTGGAGTCATCTCTATTGATTTGCACATTTGCTTCATCCCATCTTTCACTCTCACTCATGGGAAGGCTCAGCCTAAGTGGGTTTTGGTTGTGGTAGTTTTCATGCTTTTAGTAGCAGAAAGGGGACTTTTACTGATTGCCTGCTATATGCCAGGCATTATGCTAGAGAATGTGTGTGAAAACTTCACACAGCTTAAGTCGTGATGTTCTATTTCATAAGTAGAAAAACTCCAGTTGAGAGTGGTTTAAATAACGGGCCCATGTCATACAGCTACTGACTGGCATGGGGGTAGAGTTTGAACAAGGTAGTGGCAGCTCCAGAGTCCTTGGCTGGGATGGCTGCAGCTAGACCCACTTAGAAGGGCAGTTAGTGAGACAGGTGTAGGTAACCATGCATTTAAAACGGGTTAGAGATTAGTGCTAACATACTTCATTTTAAAAATAGGTCGTTCTGACATAAAGGTTAAGAATATTACTGACATATCCCAGAAGACACTGAGAATTGCTGACCTTCAAGGTAAAACAAGTTACCACCTGGTCTTGCGAGCCTATACAGATGGTGGAGTGGGCCCAGAGAAGAGTATGTACGTGGTGACAAAGGAAAATTGTAAGTTTCGGGTTGCTGTTGAGGTGCTTTCCATCCTGCATGCGTAGTGTTCCTAGTGATTCTTGGTTTATGTAGGAACCCCTCCCCACCCTTTCTAAAAAACATTCACATTTTGTTGCATTTTTTGGCTGGTGGAGGGAAAGGTTAAAAAGCTATAAGATTACTTTATGTTCGTTCTTGTCAGTTATTTGAAGTTATTTCCAAATGAGTACCTAATAAATTAATGAATTTGGGATACATCTGAAGTCTAGAGGTCTAAAGTCATATTGAATTTATCTAACGGTCAGTGATTAAAAATGTTTTGCTCCAGCTATTCTGTGATTTCTCACGTATCTAGGGAGAAGTGAAGATGTTCTTAATTTTTTTGTAAAGCACAACACTCATAAATTTGAGAGACAAGAACAGTGATGGCCTTGACTGTCTTTCTGCAGTAAAGAACTTTACTTGGATCATGGGCTTATCCTCTACCCCTGAGTTGGAGAGTTCAGACACAGCTCTTAAATAAAGAGCCATGAGGATATGGTTCTCTAAAGCAGTGATTCTCAACGGAGGGTGATTTTGTCACCTACGAGATACTTGGCACTGTCTGGTATCATTTTTCGTTGTCATAACTGGGGCATACTACTGGTATCTAGCGGTGAGAGGCCACGGACGCTCTTAAACTTCCAGTAGTGTACAGGACTGTCTCCCCCGATCCTCTAGTGAAGATCTGTCTGGCCTAAAATGTCAAAAGTTTCAAGATTGAGAAACCCTACTTGAAAGAGTTTAAGTATTTGCGTAAAAATCATCACAATACCTGAAGGTTAGATTGTAATAGTTTTTCAGTGTCCCTGCAGCAGTTAATTTTGTTTTTTTCCTAAATAATCTACCAACCTAAATATCTTCTAACATAAATCTATTCTGTACTTCACACTAAAAATGGTGATTTTAATATTTGTAATACTCTCATTTCAGCTGTGGGATTAATTATTGCCATTCTCATCCCAGTGGCAGTGGCTGTCATTGTTGGAGTGGTGACAAGTATCCTTTGTTATCGGAAGCGAGAATGGTAATGGTTTCTGCATTTACTCTTGCTCTTTTCTTCTTAAGGGCATGATTATAAGATTTGTAAGATTAGTTTATGTATTAAGTATATCTTTTTTGTTGTAATAAGTTAGTAAAAAAAGTTTTAATTAGAATTAATGTTGAATTTAATATTAAACATGACATATTATTTAAAGGTCTTAATAGAGTCAATGTGTAAATTTTTTTCTACTGTTTTTCCTAATAATTTAAAGTCATAGCAGTTATTATTATAAAAAATATTTATAGGCTGAAATACGGCAATAGCTGTCTACAAGATTAAACATGATTTAATGATTAAGATCTCACTTGCCCTGGTGACCTATCATTTTGATCATTTGCTCATTTATTCAACAAATATGAATGACTTCTTCCATGTGAAGGGGGAAATATTGTGGTGCACAAAACAAGCCATGGTTCTTATAGACTTGGAGCACAGTGTGGGAAGAGGGACAGTAAACCATAGACATCCAGCAAAGATGTGCTTGCAGAGTGTGAGTGGGTGCTAGGAAGACTGAACCAGGTACCCTGAGGAGACCAGCAGGGGGCTACGTCCTGGGAGCTGGTCGGCCACTGCTAGTCACGGCCGGTCTGTGGGAGAGTTCCAAAGGGTAAGGAGAGGCAAAAGAATGTTACAGAGAATTGTTTCTTTGAGGGCCCTGAAATTGGAAGGAGTTAAAACCTTCAGAGAAAGTGAGAGGAGCTGTGTGCCTGGTGAAGCAGGAATGAGTGACGTGAGGTGAGGTGAAGTCAGTGGGGGCTCCATGGGAGAGAGGGCCATGTGTGTGGTTACCTGGCAGGAGCTGTCCTGGCTGGGTATGGGGCCAGTGGCTGCATTCATGCTTACCTGGCAGGAGCTGTCCGGGCTGGATATGGAGCCAGTGACTGCATTCATGCTTAGACCAGTCCTCACCGGCCTTAAAAATGACATCATTTATGACAAGAGAACATATTTTAGCAATCTTGGCTTATAAATCAAAATAGTAACAGTTATAGAACTATAGAATAGTCTATTTTGGTAACCATATTCTCATTACCAAAAGTCACATTTTACAAACAACTGTTAGGCCGGGTGCAGTGGCTCACACCTGTAATCCCAGCACTCTGGGAGGCCAAGGCAGGCGGATCAAGAGGTCAGGAGATCAAGACCATCCTGGCCAACATGGTGAAACCCTGTCTCTACTAAAAATACAAAAAAGTAGCTGGGTGTGGTGGCACGTGCCTGTAATCCCAGCTACTCAGGAGGCTGAGGCAAGAGAATCGCTTGAACCAGGGAGTTGGAGGTTGCGGTGAGCCAAGATTGTGCCACTGTACCCCAGCCTAGCAACAGAGCAAGACTCTGTCTCAAAAAAAAAAAAAAAAAAAGACAAAATAAGAAGGGAGTTTAGAAGTTACAGCGTTTCAAACTCACATTAACAAAGTTATTTTTTCTGTAGGAATTTCAAGTAATACAGTTCTTTTTAGTAGCCGTAAATATAAAAATATGATAGGACTAGGACACTGAGCAAATCTCATTTTTGGTTGCATTTAGTTTTTAGTCAAGATTAATAGCCTTTTTCTTAGCACAGCCTGCAACGTGTTCATGACACGTGGCTGTCACCTTTATGACCACCTCAGTAACCCACCTTGGTAAAGGCAGATCTCATTTTTGGCTGCATTTAGTTTTTGTTCAAGATTAGTAGCCTTTTTCTTAGCACAGCCTGCAGTGTACTCATGACACGTAGTTATCACCTTTATGATCACCTTTGTAACCACCTCGGTAAAGCAGTGCCATGGGATCACAGCTGTTCTTCCATAGTCCAGATCCTTTGGACTAGATGGCACAACCACTATTTTAATTATTTGCTTTCCATTTTCATGAGATACATGGGTATGGTAGTTCTAGAAATTGAATTACTGTTTATGGTTTTCTTTTTTTGGGGGGGGGGGGGATAGAGTCTCGCTCTGTCACCCAGGCTGGAGTGCAGTGGCGCGATCTCTGCTCACTGCAGGCTCCGCCTCCCGGGTTCACGCCATTCTCCTGCCTCAGCCTCCCGAGTAGCTGGGACTACAGGAGCCTGCCACCACGCCCAGCTAATTTTTTGTATATTTAGTAGAGACGGGGTTTCACCATGTTAGCCAGGATGGTCTCGATCTCCTGACCTTGTGATCTGCCTGCCTCAGCCTCCCAAAGTGCTGGGATTACAGGCGTGAGCCACCGCGCCCAGCCCTGTTTATGGTTTTCAAATTGGAACCTCTCAGTGCGTTGTATAGACAGCTCTAGTGAATGATCACACGAAAGAGCTTCCATTTGAATCTCAGATGTTCATTAATGGATTCATAAATACTTCAAAATAAGCCTAATGATTTATTAACTTATTATCTAATAATCTTAAAACTATTAAATTTACTTTAATAATTTTTTATTAAAGGATTAAAGAAACCTTCTACCCTGATATTCCAAATCCAGAAAACTGTAAAGCGTTACAGTTTCAAAAGAGTGTCTGTGAGGTAATCTTTTATTTTCTTATATTTATCTTTGACGTGTTGGCTTGTTTTTTTAATCTTTTGTGAAAAGTTTTTAACATGCAAATGTCATTCTAAGTAAAAAGTGTTGGGAAGATAGTATACTTTGAAACATCCCAGTTTCTAAAATTATTAATTTTAAATTATACTGTGCTCTTTTTTCTCCCACAAATATTAATAACAAGGAAAAACTGATACGGAAGAAAAAAGTGGCTGTGCTGTAGTGTGAAATGCAGAGTAGTAGAGGCACCTGTTTACAAGCAGATTTGGGGAAAAAGGTGCCCCTGTTTGTAGGAGGAGCATTGCAGTAGCATTTAGTGCTATTTTTAATCACCATTTTTAAATTTATTTCTAGGGAAGCAGTGGTCTTAAGACATTGGAAATGAATCCTTGTACCCCAAATAATGTTGAGGTTCTAGAAACTCGATCAGCGTTTCCTAAAATAGAAGATACAGAAATAATTTCGCCAGTAGCTGAGCGTCCTGAAGATCGCTCTGATGCAGAGCCTGAAAACCATGTGGTTGTGTCCTATTGTCCACCCATCATTGAGGAAGAAATACCAAACCCAGCAGCAGATGAAGCTGGAGGGACTGCACAGGTCATTTACATTGATGTTCAGTCGATGTATCAGCCTCAAGCAAAACCAGAAGAAGAACAAGAAAATGACCCTGTAGGAGGGGCAGGCTATAAACCACAGATGCACCTCCCCGTTAATTCTACTGTGGAAGATATAGCTGCAGAAGAGGACTTAGAGAAAACTGCGGGTTACAGACCTCAGGCCAATGTAAATACATGGAATTTAGTGTCTCCAGACTCTCCTAGATCCATAGACAGCAACAGTGAGATTGTCTCATTTGGAAGTCCATGCTCCATTAATTCCCGACAATTTTTGATTCCTCCTAAAGATGAAGACTCTCCTAAATCTAATGGAGGAGGGTGGTCCTTTACAAACTTTTTTCAGAACAAACCAAACGATTAACAGTGTCAGCGTGTCACTTCAGTCGGCCATCTCAATAAGCTCTTATTGCTAGTGTTGCTACATCAGCACTGGGCATTCTTGGAGGGATCCTGTGAAGTATTGTTAGGAGGTGAACTTCACTACATGTTAAGTTACACTAAAAGTGTTCATGTGCTTTTAATGTAGTCTAAAAGCCAAAGTATAGTGACTCAGAATCCTCAATCCACAAAATTCAAGATTTGGAGCTCTTTGTGATCAAGCCAAAGAATTCTCATGTACTCTACCTTCAGGAAGCATTTCAAGGCTAATACCTACTTGTACGTACATGTAAAACAAATCCCGCCGCAACTGTTTTCTGTTCTGTTGTTTGTGGTTTTCTCATATGTATACTTGGTGGAATTGCAAGTGGATTTGCAGGCCAGGGAGAAAATGTCCAAGTAACAGGTGATGTTTATTTGCCTGACGTTTACTCCTTTCTAGATGAAAACCAAGCACAGATTTAAAAACTTCTAAGATTATTCTCCTCTATCCACAGCATTCACAAAAATTAATATAATTTTTGATGTAGCGACAGTGATTTAGTGTTTTGTTTGATAAAATATGCTGATTTCTGTGCCTACTGTATAATGGTTATCAAACAGTTGTCTCAGGGGTACAAACTTTGAAAACAAGTGTGACACTGACCAGCCCAAATCATAATCATGTTTTCTTGCTGTGATAGGTTTTGCAAGCCTTTTCATTATTTTTTAGCTTTTATGCTTGCTTCCATTATTTCAGTTGGTTGCCCTGATATTTAAGATTTACATTTCTAAGACTATGGACCCATGTTTCTTTTAAATCATTTTATTTTGTGATAGTGACAGCTTTATATGAACAAATTCAATATTATTCATAAGCATATAATTCCAGTGATTTACTATGTGAGATGACTACTAAGCAATATCTAGCAGCATTAGCTGTCTGTATTCTGATTGGGTTTCGTTCCTCCTGAGGAGACCATGCCATTGAGCCTGGCTACCCAGGCAGTGGTGATCTTTGACACCTCCTAGTGGATGTCCTCCTGCTCATGAGTCTTTTCATCATGCCAGATTATCTGATCCAGTACTCACATTTTTAAATATAAAACTAAAGAGAGAATGCTTCTTACAGGAACAGTTACCCAAGGGCTATTTCTTAGTAACTGTCCTAAACCGATCTGAATCCACGGGCATGCCTGTGTTGCAGGTGTAGCAATTGCTTGGTGAGCTGTGCGTAGTTGGGTGCCTTCAGCACAGCATCCTCTGCCCACCCTTCTTTCTCATAAGCGATGTCTGGAGTGATTGTGGTTCTTGGAAAAGCAGAAGGAAAAACTAAAAAGTGTATGTTGTATTTTCCTTGCCCTCAGGTTGCCTGTGTATTTTACCTTTTCATAGTTAAGGCAAAAGTACTTGAAAATTTTAAGTGTCCAAATAAGATATGCCTTTTTTGTTTGGTTTTTTGGTTTTTGTCATCTGAGGTTCTGTAATGTATTTACAAATAATGGATCAGTTAATTTTTTTGAAGCTCATATTGTATATTTTTAAAAACCATGTTGTGGAAAAAAGCCAGAGTGACAAGGGACAAAATCTATTTACGTTCTCTGTGTATGAATCCTGATTTTAACTGCTAGGATTCAGCTAAATTTCTGAGCTTTATGATCTGTGGAAATTTGGAGTGAAATGCAATTCATTTTGTACATACATAGTATATTAAAACTATATAATAGTTCATAGAAATGTTCAGTAATGAAAAATATATCCAATCAGAGCCATCCCTAAATAGTGTTCTCTTGTCTTCCTTTGTATCCTCTTTGGCTCCTTCCCTTAGCTTCCACCCCAGACATGAGATCTAGGGCTGCCTTCTCTCCCTGCCAAATTTTGCTGTTACCATAGTCTGCTTGCCCTCAACTCCTGCCTTGTTCCCTGTTGAAATATATCAATCCCATACTTTATCTCTCCAGGACAAGGATAGGCGTTGGCTACAGTAAACGTTTATTGCTCTAAACGACACTAACCTGAGATAACCAGAAAAGGCCAGAAGAGATTGTTTGATCTTTGTCTGTCAATATATATGCATTTCAACTGTGACCATCTGGATCCAGGGCCCTTTCTAACCTATATAACGACTCATTTGTTTGGCTAATGATGAATATCACTGGGGCTCTTAAGTCCTTTCGTTCTCTGCAAGACTTCACTGTTTTTTCTGTATGAAAAAAGTGCAGAATATCACTCACCTTTCCCCTACTTCTGGAGTTTCATACACAAGGATCACTAGCTTAATGAGAAGCAGAGTAACACTATTAAGTCTGGGCAAGCTCCTTATAAGTTGCTGTATGGTTAAAAGAGTGTGGTTTGTGTCTGAGGCCAAAGCGGTTTTCCTTCTTTTTCCTCATTGAATTGAAGACAGCTAGACCGTTGTGCAGATCCCAGGATATTACCTCTCCTCCCACTCCACCTGTGTGTGTAGGGAGAGCAACAACACGGGAAGAGGAGAGGGAAGTGGGAAGGAGAGATTAGTCGCATGTCCAGTTGTCTGAGACACTGGTAAATGTGCACTGTTTTTCAATGCTGGTTGCATGCCTGCATTTACAAGGTGTTCTCATACTGATTGTGCTCTGTCCAGTTAGATTTGTGGCTTCTCCCTTGGAAGCGACAATTAAGGACTAGTTAGAGGCAGAGCTAGATGTGTTCTCTCCAGCCCTTACTGACTAGGAAAATAATTGAGAAATCCCTCTTTTCTTCTTCAGTGAAAGCCCAGTCATTGGTTAGAAAAATCTAAATGTCAAACTAGCATTATGTTCCATCATATCTGTGGGATAGTAATTCATGTAAGACATATTTTTACCTCTCTTATGAGTCAATTCACTTACAAGCCAGTTTCAACTCCAGCTTCCCTTCCAAGGAATGGAGGTCATTATGGGGCTCATTTATGAGTGACCATTTTAAATAAATAATATTTAATATTACATTATTAAAGACTTAGCTAGACTTTTAACATTAGATGAACTCGTGAATCATATAGTGCATAGATTAGCACATGTGTGCAATCTAGGTCATCAGCTTGTTGAATTTATGCAGCCCTGGATTTGAGACTGTGGCCCTGAGTGTCTGGATAGTTGAGTTGTGTGTTTATGTGCTTATGTGATAGAGGTGCTTTGTTCCTGCAGCCTAGAAACAGAAGCAGCCATTCATTGAGAAGTTTAAGAGAGGAAGTATCAACCTCATTTTCCAAACCAGCATTACTTTCACGGCTCATGGATCTGAAAGATTACATTTAGAACATTTAGTACTATTACACTCTCAGAAACTGTGGTAAAAAGTCACATTTTCAAAACTTCATGCACATTGTATTCTTGTTGGAAATAAGTCCTGTAGTTTCTTAATTGTCTTCATGCCGTCCATATTTAACAAGCATTACAAGTCCTTTTTGTATTTGGGTAATTATTTGTAATTTAATGAAGGAGACCAGGGAATGTTTTCTTCCAAAGGGAATTTAAAATCAATTTTATGGTATTTTGAAAGTAAAATATTCATTAACATGTCAATATTTTGAAAACATTATCTCAAAGTTTTCTATCGCTCAGGTATATAATCTGATAAAAATTTTTTTGTTTGTTTGTTCTAAGGTTATTTTTGCTATTCTCTATTTTGAATTGTGTTAAAATTTGTGTGCATTTTATGAAATGCCTTTTTTCGTATTTTGAAAGTGTAAAATTGGGCATCTCAGAGTAAAATGGGGGATTATTAGCTACAAAAACTAGACACATTGTGAAAGCTCAGTAACTAATTTTCTTGATGGAGTCCTATCCCAGAGTGTCACAGATTCAACAGAATTTTCCTGAAGGGCGATACACATCAAAATCTAGGTTGTGTAGATCTGAGACTATTGACTCAAAGATTCAAATCTACTTTGGAAGTGACTGCATGGTTTGAATGAAAACTGAGGAAGGGCTCATGCCTGTTATCACTAGATATTTATTTCTCCATAATTTTAAGTGTTCATACTTCCTTCTTATTTGATGGGTATGCAACTGGGGCATGTTTGTACCAGCCAGCGTGTGTTCTGCCCAACAGTGTGTCCATGTGTGAGGTTAACTAATTCAGAACTCATGCTCTTGATAAACTTTTTCTTGAAAGCATCTATTTTAAGTCTTTATTTCCTGCTGAAATGAAGTTTCATGCTGTCATGCCCATCTTATTTATTCTAGAAGAAAATTTTCATAGAAGAAAATGATTTATGGCCAAAGTTACAGAACGTTCATCTTTTAGACTTAGCCTTAGAATATCATTGGAAATTAACTTGGCTTGAGTTTGGTTCATTTATATCTTTATGGATTATGTACCAGGGCCATTAATAACACTTAAACCCCTTATTTTGCTATAGTGGTTAGATTTTTTATTCCTTTTCAGTTATGCTGTTAATTATTATATGGTCACATTCATGCTTATTACAGATGAACTACTTTTAGTGCCAATGTAAAGGATTAAGGATAGTATTCAATTAGTTGGCTGATATGTCAGGCTTTATTGTACATGGTAATGTTTCAGGGAGTGTGATTTGGTCTAGAATATATCCAGATCCTTACGATATTGGGTTATGACAGGATTCTATTATTTTTAGCCATGAATGGTGCTTATTTTTCCCTATATTAGGAATATTAATATTTGGATTATCAGAGTCCATGTTATAAACAGAATTTATCTATGCAAGACAAATTCTAACTGTGCAACATTTTCATGAGAATTAAAAGTAGTGTGTTAAGGGGAAACTCTGAATGTTTTTATGTATAAGTGCCTAGCTAAAGAACCATAGAACAATAAATCAAAAGCTCTTATAAAAGAAAAACTGATTGAACATTAACCAGAAACAAAATATTAATAATTTACATTATTTTTTTTGGTTGCTGGGACTGAATACCCCAAAAACTAAGAGATGTGAGTGGAGAAAATGTCTACTTGATAAGAAAATTGATTTATATTATATTTACAGGTGTCTTCTAAGATTGCCTTTACAGTAACCAATCAAAACTTTAAAAAAAAAAAAAAAGCTAACAACATAGATCCTGTGTGTTGCACATAAGACTAAAATACTTTGCACACCAGATTGAATGGCTCACTTAAGTTGTTGAATTTCCTTACACATTTAAAGTGTACTTTCGTTTAGAATTATTCCATTTTAAATGGGTAACTTTCAACTTCTGAACTATTTTCCTAAACATTCCAGTAGTGTATTATAAAAGATCAAAATATCTCTAGGTGGTAATACAATTTTCATTTGTAACATGGAAAAGTTAACTGTTAGGTTTAACATTAGTGTTTTTGCAATTGATCATAGAAAAGAACACTAAATAATGGTTTTCATACAATTTTTGTTAAACATTCTTCTCCCAGTTTGATTCCAAATACTTTTTCCCATTTTTTCTAATATATCATAAACTAGTGGTTCCTTCCATTTAATTTTTCCTTCCAACATAATATTTAGGAAAAATATAAATAACATTGTGAGTAGCAGGAGACAACACGAAAAAGAAGCCTTTCATTGTTGCAGAGGTGTAGGTATTATGTGATTGATGCTCAAAATACTTAACTTTCCCAGTAAGAATGTTAAGTTTTCTTCTCTTTCATTAGCTGGCCATAAGTCAAGGTCCTTATAACACTAGGAAATTACCTGTTTTTACTTTCAAAATTGCATTATAGTGAATTACTGTTTACAAAATACACATACTGTGAACAGATATAAGTTTCTGTCTTTTATAAGATTGTTTGTAGAATGAATGTTTTTTTAAAGTGAGTATTATATGTTAAATATTTTAAGTTTTTTATAAATACTAGTAACTGTTTACTAATTTTTGTTTGGTCAAGTGCTTGTAAATGTCGCTGAAAGAAGATAGGGAGAAACTGCGGATCCCAAACTGTTCCCTTTTTCATTTCTTGAAATGTTACCACTACAGATGCTTTTTTTTTTTTAAGGTGAATGATCAGTTGTGATGTGCTGTACCTAAAATCATGTTTAATTGTATAAGGAAACATTTAAATACACATATACAGGAAGAAAACTGTAGACGAAGTATGTGTGTGTGATTCAGTCTGATTCACAGAATTCTGAGAGTAATATGGAATAAAACAACTCCACTTAGATGATAACTGAAGTATTTCCTGCCTTGTGAAAATTTGGATATTAAATTGCTGTTAGAATGGGAAATTTGGACACTTTATATCATTGTATAATTTCAGAATTTAGTTACTGTATCTTTTGGAAAACATGATTATAGCAAAAACATAGAAAATAAGTAATCTATTACTAAAACACCATAAATGTAAAACTAGTATGCTTGGCTGTTAACTCTAAAGATGTTACTTATGTCTGTTTTTAAAACATGCATGTATTTAACAATTTTATCATAGTATTGTCATGGAAAAAATAAATATATTTTCTTACATCTTACACTGACAGACTTGGGCATTATTGGGTTTTTCCCCATGTTACACACTTGGGAGAAGTGGTGCCTGCTTCGTTGTTGTATTTTTTTGTTCTATCCCGTAAGAAATACTGTGGTTGTAAAGCAATCACATAGCACTATGGATGTATTTGTAACATTTGAATACATTGCTGTGCCATTGGTGTGACATCCATCTGTCCATTAAATCATTATTGTTTACCTGAGAAGTTAGCATAAAAATAATCAAATAGTGGGAATCCAACATTGGCAAATAAATAATAAATACTGGTCTTTAAAGTAATGGTTTTTAGTTTATGCCCTCTGAAAATAGCTTAAACATTCCTGAAGATTCTGAGAATGTATCAAAATTTTATTTCAACCTATTAGGAAATACAGTCAGATTTAGCAAAACCAGTAATTTTAAAGTATAAAGTGATCTTTTCTTTTTTTTTTTTTTTTTTTTTGAGACGGAGTCTGTGGTCCAGACTGGAGTGCAGTGGCGTGATCTTGGCTCACTGCAAGCTCCGCCTCCCGGGTTCACGCCATGCTCCTGTCCCGAGTAGCTGGGACTACAGGCGCCCGCCACCGCGCCCGGCTAATTTTTTGTATTTTTTAGTAGAGATGGGGTTTCACCGTGTTAGCCAGGATGGTCTCGATCTCCTGACCTCGTGATCCGCCCGCCTCAGCCTCCCAAAGTGCTGGGATTACAGGCGTGAGCCACCGCGCCCAGCCAAAGTGACCTTAAATAGATAAAAATGGAGAAATTAAGTCCTTAGTCATATGTATAGCCTAGACTTAGCCAGATTGAAACATGAATGGGCCTGGATTTAACCACAAGAAACTCCAGACCAACTTAATTGTGAAAAATATGTTAGTATTTAAGTGCAAGGAAGTACATACATATGGCCTGTCCTTTGGGGATTCTCAGTGCATAACTTGTTTCCCAGATGGTAAGTTCTTGAGTCAAAATGTATAACACCCTCAGACCCAGGAACTTTTAAAAAGGATCAGAGACGAATGATGAAATTATTGGGGGAAAAGATAGAGATGTATGAAAAAAATATTAAAGGTATTCAATGTCAACTAAAATGTTAGCTTACAAACAAGTTCTTCAAAACGAACTATAATAGCTTGTTTGGAGTGGCTTATAAATTTGATCTTACTGGCTTTCTCCTGGAGTGATCAACAATAAAACTGAATTGAAAATATTCATTGTGCTGGTCCCAGGGAAGTTGAAGTAACAAGAGATGCCTTGAACTGATTTGTGCTTAAATTGGAGATGATTTTATCCCTGGGTGATGAGTTTCAGATTAGCGATAAGAAAAGCTTTTGAGGATGATCTTGATAAAAACTGTTCAGTGATGGCCAGATGCAGTGGCTCACGCCTATAATACCAGCACTTTGGGAGGCTGAGGCAGGTGGATCATGAGGTCAGGAGTTTGAGACCAGCCTGGCCAACATGGTGAATCCCCGTCTCTACTAAAAATACAAAAAATTAGCCAGAGGTGGTGGCGCACGCCTGTAATCCCAGCCACTCGGGAGGCTGAGGGAGGCTGAGGCAGGAAAATTGCTTAAACCTGGGAGGTGCAGGTTGCAGTGAGCCTAGATCACACCATTGCACTCCAGTCTGGGTGACAAGAGCAAAACTCCATCTCAAACAAAAAAAAAACTTTTAAGTGGAAATAACTTTAAAATGAATGCAACCCTAGTGTATGAACCTCTGTCTCCAAACCTTCGAAAGGTATGAATGTCAAGCTTTAGCTCAAACAAATCTTTCTTCCCCTCCTGCCCTCAGCCTGCCTTAACTCTGCTCGAGGTTGAGCCTCTAGAGGCACTTACATAGTCCCCTCACCTACACCATCCTTGGAGTTGTTGCAAGCCAGAGTCTGAAAGCCTTGAGGAAGCAGAGTGTTGAGAACAGATGGACCCTCGTAGTCCTAAATTGCCCAATTACCAGTGCAGGCAACATGCCACCTTCAGAATGGAACCTAGAGTCTAATTTCCTCAATTGCCATTGTTGCTCCTTTCCTTTCCTGTGTTGGCTGAGGCCGGGTTCACACCTTTTCCGAGTCAGCCACTGCACTGCAGGAGGTTTCACAGGCCTGGCTCCCATCCCAGCATCACAACTTACTACCAGGATAACCTTTGGAGAGTTAAATTCAGCCTCTCCCCGTGTCCTCATCTCTGAAACGTGGCTCTTCATGCCCACCTTTGCAGGACTAGGGAAGATTAGACAGAGTACATCATGTTCCCAACAGAGTGGATGTTTGCTACCCATGCCTCCTCTTGAGAAACTATAGGAACACCGAAGGCCTTAAAGGTATAAATGCCTCTGCACTTGTTTGGCTGCTCCTTAGGTCATCTCTCCCAGTTACACAGAGAGGAGCTGCACAGCTCAGGGCCTGCACGGGAGCCATGGCATCTGTCCCCCCAGAGTGAATGCAGGGGCTTCACTTAGACAACTTCTTCCATCTGCAGGGCCCAGTTGAGGCCTTGCTGGCTCAGAGAAGCCTTCTCCAGCATCGCCAGGCCCTCAGTCCTGTGCCTTCCCAGGCCTGCGTGTCCCCACGGCACCAAGCGCAATCGTAACGCTCGATCTGGGAATGGGAATTGAACAATGTCTCGGGCTCTTACATCCATGAAGCTTAGTTTAGGATCTGCCACATCTCAGGTGCTTGATAAATATTCTTTAAATGCACCTTGAGAAAAACGTGGTTTAATGTGTTTCCCTGGGTATCAGAAATATGTTATTTTACAGAGCGTGATCCTACAGAGGGTGATCCCTTGTGAGATAGTCTTAGAGTGTGTAAGACAAGGGAGCCCTGGTTAAGGACAAGGATGGGAGGCTCCCTGTGGTAGATCAAAGCAGCTCCTGCCCCAGATTTGGGCCATCTTGCCTTGTAGTAGATGCTTAAGTATGTGTTGAATGCAATTACCTTGTTCTCCCTGGACAGAAATTTACCCTTATCTTCTTACCTCTTTGGTAACAGCAGATGGGAGATAAATGGCCTTTATCCAAAGTGACAACAGGTTAGAGTCCTTCTACCCATTGTCTGTCACCTCTGCCCTCTGCCCTCTTCTCCCCAATTTGAACCTTGTTTTCATTTTCTGTGAGTCAGGTTCTCTGTATCCTTCAACTTGCATGGACAACTTGCATGACCAAGTGATCCATTCTGGCCCCCGTCCCTCTTCCCTAAACTGCGTATCTGCTTCTCTGGAAGATAGTCTTGGCTCTGATATTTCAGGCATCTACTTTGTGGGCAGGTAAGCCCTGGCATGTTTCTCAGGCCACACCACTGTAGTCTCCTATTCCACCTGGAAATAACACATATTTCCTTATACACAAAACTTGCTTCCCTCAAACAAGACCTCCTCAAGCATCTGGGCCCACGGTCCAGGCTCATCCAAGCTTATGGCCTTGCCATCAGGAGAATCCTCCCCAGCTCGCCATGAGGACTCTGGCCTGGCTTGCCATGTGCTCATCCCTGGTTCAGTCCTGTGGCTGGACAGAGGTTCTATTCAAAGGACATTTTCACAAGAGTTGGAGAAAGACCAGTCCATCCAAAAGAGGTGATATCCTGAGTGGACAGAACAAAAAATACTCACTGAAGAAAAACTAGAAAATCAATGGTAAAGAAAAAGAAATCACACAATTTTTTTTTATTTTTTATTTTTTTGCCGAGACAGAATCTTGCTCTGTCACCCAGGCTGGAGTGCAGTGGTGCGATCTCGGCTCACTGCAACCTCCAACTCCCAGAGTTCAAGCGATTCTCCTGCCTTGGCCTCCCAAGTAGCTGGGACTACATGCTCATGCCACCAAACCCAGCTAATTGTTTGTATTTTTTAGTAGAGACGGGGTTTCACCATGTTGGCCAGGCTGGTCTCAAACTCCTGACCTCATGATCTGCCTGCCTCAGCCTCCCAAAGTGCTGGGATTACAGGGTGAGCAACATGCTAGGCCCACACAATATTTTTATGCAGCATTAGGTCTTTTCAACATTTTATTTTTTATCCTTTCAGAAATATTTTCCTATGTGAATGTGTGTATATATATGTACATGTCTATTCATATATATGTATATGTGTGCATATATAAAAGGGAATTGTAGATTCTATTTTGGAACTTGAATTTTTATTTCACATATTTTGAAAATCTTTTCATATAAATAGAACACTCCTATGGTACTCTTTCATGGATATATGAAATCCCAATGTATGGATGAACTATTTAATTCTGTATTCTGGACATTTTCCTATATTCATACTTTTCATTAAATAATGGATAACTCTGAAAGTCAAACAAAAGTGTTTGGCATTAGTTTGATATCTGAATTTCATACTAAAAGTCATTGGCGCCTTATACACAAAAACACCCAAACCAACTTTTTGATGTGGTCTTTTATGAGTAACTGGCTACCGAAGATTCCGACGCAGAGTTCCATGGCTTCCCTGCTATCTCTTCTAAGATGTGGGCTGCTTGGGGTCATGCTGAGTGGCCGCTGGAAAGGGCAGCTGCCTGACAATTTCCTCAGTCCCCCTGGGCACCCACACCATCAGCTGTACCCCAGCCTAGGTCCTTAGTCATGGCAAAGGGTCCCTGGACCCCAGGAACACAGGATTTTCAAGAACTATAAATAGGAATTTTAAAATACGGTTATGCTCTCTGAGAACAGAACCCCCCTCATCCTGAGTGTTTGACTCATTGTTTAGGGATGCAGCTGACCGTGGCGTAACCTTTAGTTGGGATAGCACGGGACAGAAGGTGCATTTTAGGAAAACGAACTTGGTTTTTGGGGAGGTATCATCTGGAGGTGGGAGAGACTGAAAGTTAGAGTTGATCAGGGTTGTGGTAGGCAGGACACTACGAAGGCCCCCAAGATGCTTGCGTGGAACTGTGGAAATGATGGATTGTCGCTCCCACGGTTAGGCTACTCATCAATTGACTTGGAGTTAATAGGTGATGATCATGGGTGGGCGACCTATTCAGGAGAGCTCTTATGAGAGG